AACTTGAGCATGTCCAGTTTTGTAGTAATCCATTTGATCACATTGACAGAATCAAGCAATGATCTGATTCAACAACACCGAATGATGCATCCATATCACTTGTATCAATCAATTGTACACAATCAGTCAATATAATCAACAATCACTGTCATGATTGACATGATTGATTCAATTTATTCAATTTATTCGATCCATTCAATTGCATAGATCTGACTGGCATTGCAACTCATTGTTGTAAAATCACAACCTCACAATCCATCACCAACGATCAAAATTATATACCAGCTCATATCTGTATTCGTTGTATACCGCTGTGATTTGAGTTCGGTCACTTGTCAATTCATCTCGATAGTGTTTGGCTTCAGCTGGTGATTGAACACCTTGAATATACTGCGTGATATCATTCCACAGTTCAGGTGGTACGTGTGCCTTGTCAAGACTCGAGTTGTACCATTGTGGTTGTTGTGGAGCCACATGCGCAGTCGAAACAATCCGACAAGATGGATTTACTACAAAAAATGTCAGAATCTTGCAGTGTCCTGGTTGAGTTGGATCTGCAAGTTCAAATGATTGTTCTTTGTGTTGGTATCGATTGGGATAAACTACACATCGACCATTTGATACTTCAAGCGATCCTAGATACTGATTGCGTCGTGATTCTCGATTAATAATGCCATACACATCTTTCCAATACATATCTGATGCTATTTGATATTCAAAACGATCAACAGCCTCGCGGTAATCGAGTTTGGGTGTGGTGATATTTTCCACGTCGTAGTAATACAGTCCAACTGCAACAATCGATTCGTTAGCTGAACCTTCATTGTACCAGTTTCCCTTGTCGTATTTAGGTTTGGATGGTGTCAATTGAATGTTGGTGAGTTTGACAATGACTTGTAGATTACGACCACGCAGTGATACTGGTTTTGCTGATTCATATTTGGGTTCAAAATGTTCCGGAAGTGTTGGTACATACACGGGACGAGTGACCTCAGTATCCAGTTCCATATCATCATGGTTTGATTGGTTTGGTGGTTTATATCGATTTGTGTCATTGTGAATATCAATATACCTGAACATTGGATCCATCGTTCTGAACAGACTTTCAAACATTGGGACAAAACATTTGAATATTTTGGCAATGCATTTGTACATGTCTCGATGCCATATCGGATTCAGATTGTTGATGTATGAGTTGATGGTCACACTGCCATCCTGTTCGACACGGAATTCACTCGGAAGCCATTGGAATTTGGATGATATAAACTCGGGATTGCCTTCAATGATGGGCATATCTGAAACAAGTCGAGTCGATAACAATATATCGCATGGTACCATTGTGGTGTATTTGAGTCGTATACTCAGTGGTGTAATCATCGTTTGTCCATATACAACACTGTACATTGATGCATCAATCAGATTGTGCACCATTTGACCAGTGTTGTGATTTGATCCATGTTCAATATCCGATACATTTGTCATCAATCGCGTATATACATTGTCAGGTATGCCGTTGTCCAGTATATACGTCTGTTCAACAGGTCCTGGTACAATTGTGCCAAATCCATCACTGCCACTACAAACAAGCTGTTTGACAAAAACCCCGAGTTGTTCCAATGCAAGATTAAATGTTGATGGTGATATATTCCGATCGAGTGAGTCTGTCCTCCATTGCTCCACAATATGCTGGTTTGTGATATCGATCCGCCACATGGGTTTGCAAAGTATAGATTGCAGATACTGGATATACTGCATCTCGACAAGTGTGCGTGCATTTCCATGTTTATATCCGGCCATTCCAGATTTCATATCAATTTCGGCATTGTCGTTGTATAGCTGAATACTTGAACTAGCAACGTGAACCAGGTGCTGGAAACACGTTTCAATGATCTGGCCAGCAACCCTTTTGTTTCTGTATTCAGCAGTATCCGATTTTACAATAGCCGTTAGATTTTCAAATATCCCGCCTTGATCCAACTCGGTACGTATTGAACTGTCGGGATGATTGTCGGCAAAATTCACAAGTGTTTTGAGTAGGTTTACAATACTAGTGTTACTACCATTATAATCATATAGATCTATATTTCTACGTGAATAAATAGTGATGAGCTGCTTTACAATTCCATATTCTCGAAACACCTTGATCATCTTGGCCTTGTTTGTAGATTTCTCAATAATGCTGCTGACATGGCTCAACAGGTGCAAACAGCCACGTATACCAGCATCACATGCCGATATCGTCAATTGCTCAAAAATTGGCGACCGTACAAGCGATACAGGAAAGTTGCGCATTTTGGATGCAACTCTTCCAGCTACTTCGATTATGCGTGCTCTTAGTCCAGAGTTGTCGCTGTATCTGGTACACAAGTCGTTCAGCGGTTGAATCAAATCCAGCCTCATCAACTCGGCTGAAACTATTTCACAATCTTTATAGTCGCAAAAACTCTGAATAGTATAAATACTTTGACTAATCACTTCTTGATCGACACTCCTGTATTCATGTCATGTCAATCCAACCATGTCAAATTCATCAATTGTGATGACTGAACACACATTCATGCATAACATCACATACCTGAGCATATTGACCAGTGCTGGAATGATGCCACATTTCACTGCTTTTACTGGGTCATGACGATGGATCTTCCAATACATGGTTTCAAGATTTTTGATAAACCCAACAGCAACTGAACCACTAGATGATTCCAGTCGTGAAACAAGTCTTGACAACACGATGCCAAACTAATGATATTGTTCAATGTCAAATATACAATCAACAAGACAAGACATGCCACTGTCCAAACTGATCCAACATTGTATCATTGTAAACATACGTTTTCATCGTCAATATCATGACAAGCTTTCAAAAACAGGCCAATCGCCAATGTGAGCACTTGTTGATCAGACTCGTGAACAATAATCTCAACCATTGGCTTGATGTCAAATTTACACTCCTCACTCCAGAGTTCATAACTGAACAACTGTGTACATGATTTCATCGCCTATATGCATATTGACACTAGATGGGTTGAATGTCAATCATTTGATCAATATCAATCATGACTTGCCGCCATTTTGACTTGACGACTTGGTGATTGCATGAGTTGTGCAAGTTGGTTGCTTAGTCGATGTGATACTTTGAACCGATCATCACTGTACACCATTCTCGCAAACACTGCAGTAAACTTCATTACTTTGATCTACACAACACATGTTGATTATTTTAGTCATGAACAATCCATTATTGTTGCAATATATGAATACCTGTAAACTGGGTCGATTATACTCCAAATACTTGGCTGTGATATCTTCCAGTCCAATACTCTGTAAGCGAGGCACTATAACTTTAAAGCCTGTCATTTCAAACCAACACAAAGTCAGCAATGGTTTGAATTCATCAATAATACAACTGCTATTAAACTTACATGAATCATGTTCTTCCAACTCCAGTATCAATACAAGCAGTCTGTCCCATATTTCATCAGCCTTGTATAGTTAGGCATCCGTTGTTAACAGTTTCAAATCTTCCAGGTGTTTGATAAACTCTTTCATAACATCATCCAACTTCATGTTTGATAAAATTAGTAAAGTTGAATTTTGATGATAATTTCATTCATGCGAATGTCCAACAATTGCCAAGAATTGTTCATGTTTGGATTGTTGTAAAACACACAAACGAGTTGTTCCATTTTAGTATTGTTTTGATCAGTTTTTTGTAACAAAATTGGATTGTTATCAAACATGCATTTAGAAATACTGTAAATTGATATTCTGAATGTGATCGTTGTGGATTTGGTTCAATAAACAAACTAGTTTACTACAACACATGGTAATGGATTACTAAACATCATCATAAATCAGATGGACTGGACTGGAATGAGATGAGATCAATGACAATTGCATTACAAACAGTGTGTTGTGATTAAACCATCGAGTATTTCCAAATACAAACTTGAATGAAAAGTCTTGCCACAAGACTGATCAACTGTATTACTGTTTACACTGTGGTATTATTGATGTATTGTAATATTTGGTGTTCAGATACACAATGATAATGGTAGTACAAATCATGGCAGTTGTACAAACCAAACGTGATTAAAGCCAATAATAATGTCAGACAAGATTGGATAATGAATTAGCGTGTAAATCATCAACATTGACCAAGATTGATTGAAATGGTGAGATTGAGTTGGATGGTGATAAACACAATAAATGTGTGTACAGAGTTGTATTGACAACATTGACAGTCAAACACAATACATGAATGTGGGTTCAAACTTGGTGATCGTACAATGTATGATTACTAAGAGTGCACAAAGTGTAGATTCAACACTATAGTATGATTGTGTGTCATATGATGATCGTTGTGTTTATTGAACAATCAATTCCTAATATAAATGTGAATATTTAATCATTGTCTATCCCAAAATAAAATAGTGACAATCACCGAGATAAATGTGTTCCATTTTACTGAATACTGCTGTAAATGTATTCAAAACTAGAGTCCATATTCTCACACGTAACAAGAACTGAAAAATGCCATCACAGATACTAATCACAAGGAATCTAAAACCCAAGTTGCACAACTATTATGCTTTAATTCGAGTAGATAAACAATCATCCATGTAACAACCTAAAAAACAACCGTCATGTTTTAGCATTTACACTGTAAGCCATTTGTTACAATGTGTAAACCAAAATCATGTCTAGTGTTTGACCAACTGGTTATTTGGATCAAAACCGTGTCTGTCCAAGTTGATGATGCGATAAACCAAGAAATACATCAAATCTCGGTAAATGCTGTCACACTTTCCAGGTTGCTGAGACTCACATTACGCACAACTTGACATGAATGGCAATGTTGATGTCGAGACTATCAATGTATTACAGTGTATTGGTCAACAGTGACTGCAATCAATGACAATATTGCAGTCGATCCAATTCATTTGACACACATGAATGCCAATACTCGAATCAATGTGTTGACTGGAACAATCACCATCCACTTGTCAGATTCAGCATGCAAATGCATTACTGCTGCCATTGATCGACACCATAGATACAGTCAGGAAGCACAACAAATCACCAGCATGCCATTGACCGTGTTGCAATACAATTGACTAATATATCATGCTGTATGTTGTATCAAGTCACGTCATACAACAATATTACTGAATGAATACAGGTCACAACTGCAAGTATTCATGTGGTAATTAACTGACATTGGTGTTGATATCAAATTGATTGACTAATCGATCATCATCAACTGCATCAGTGATTGGTATATGCAACTGATATACACCATGTTCGAGTCTGATACATGTTGATATATGCGTGTCAATCAGCAATGCAGATTTGTGACCACAAGTCGAATGTGAGTCGAGTCGATCATTAAACCAACGAATCAATGACTGCATTCTAAATGTGGTGCGATTTGATGCGTCATGACAATATATTGTCCAACAGGTTCAACATACACAACACCGATATCCAATACATCACACATGAATACACTGCATATACAAGCAGTAGCAATGACCGATCCAAACCAACAGTGACAGAGTTATTCATCAACATATACTCGATCATCAGTCGAGTCTGCATATATCAACTAGTTGCGACACGTCATAATCAATGTGGATTGTATTGTCCACCAATCGATCATGACAGCTAATCAATACCAATCATGTAGTCAATACAATCACCAACATATCGATGACTGTTGACTGGCGGTTACAACTCGTCAATTGCATCCAATGTTACAGGCGATGCACATCTGATTACTGCAAATCAACAACTTGTCAATCATATCATAGTGTGTATTGCCAACAGACCATGCAATTACAAATCAATGTATACGTGATCAACATTTGATATTTGATGGTGATGAACCAACCATGATTGATTGTATCATACAACTAATACAGCTGCATTGTCTGGTATTGATGATCGACCCAATCATGTCAAACAGTAACTAATGCGTGTATATCGAGTTTGTGTTGCATGGACACATCAAGGTGTTTGATAACGAGTCCAACGTGATGATACAAACCCAATATTATATGAATATCCAAGTTGATGAATCAAGTCGAGGTTTGCAAAGTGTCGATATGGCAGGTCAATCAAACAAGTCAGTCAACCATTATATTGTGACTAGTGATGGCACGGTTTGAATATCAACGAGTTAGACAGTCGACAATATGGGTGATTGTGATTTGGTCAAACCGCAACACTCGCATATCACTAAACCAGTTTGATGTGCGTGATGTAAACACATACTACTGGATTGGTACAATACGATCATGTCATACTATTGTATTGGTGACAATGTGTTGTTGAACAGATGAGATCTCGAGTGCTTGCAATATAATTGGAGTGGATGTACAATATTGCTTGTGTACCGTCATGTGGTGATATCACCTGGAATATATTGTGTAGCGACATCATAGTGCGGCAAGTATAGTCGTTAAACTTGATATCAGGGTTTAAATCAAGCAACAAATCATAATATAAAGGGTGACCCTTTCAAAGTTACCTTGACATTGGTAGTGAATCACTATTAGCCCTGACAACACAAATCCCTTAGAGCGGTCATTCAAGGAATATGCTTTTAATATTATCAATCTAATAATGAGTATAAATACAATATAAAAATCAATGTGCTGAATGACATTCATCTACAACCTGTTTAACCAAACCAGTAAAATGAAACTATCAATCACCATATTATCATCAATCTTGGCTGTCTGCTCAGTTACTACAGCTAGTCCAGTTTATCCCAGTTCGACCATGAGTGCTGAAGCTAGCACTTTGACAGCCTCTCCAAGCGCAAATCCAGCTGGTGGAGATATCTATCCGGGTTTTCCTAGCGCATATAATCTTGAGAAATATTGCGATCCATTCGATACTACTGAAGCGTCGTTGATCAAAGAAATTGCAAAAGCCCATGTTGGAATTGATGTGATGTCTACACAACTTGAAGGCCTACATTATCAGTATGACTTTCAAAAAGGAGTGATTATTAAAGTGGAGCAACAACTCGAAACTCTGCGTCAAACTCCGGGTCAGGAGTTGGGTGCTGCTGAAGCCAGGCTTAAGATGCAGTATGAGGTTCTTGATGGACTCAAAAATGAGCTGAAAGAACTCGTTAAGAAAGCTTCGGATATAATTAAGAAAGAAGAGAGTTTGGAGAAAAAGCTTACAGAGCACTTGTCGCCTGGATCATCAGCGAATGGCGGTATCCTAAAATTAAAAACAGTTTCCGGATATAAGGAATGCTACGAGTTCTTCTTTCATTATGCTCGGATTGTTACAATCCGAGCATAGTGAAACTCTCCAAGATTCTGGTATTCAGCAACAAACTCCTCAACCAAACTCATCACATTGTTGGAGTTGAGTAAACTATCAACAATCTCATCTAGAATATACTACAATACAGCGTGTATTGCATGTTGGTTTACTTGTTATTTGCCATGCATCCAATGTCATCCATTAATAAACATCCTGTATTGTTAAACCATAGTGTATTATATTAATGGTTTGATCATATTGCATCAAACAACTACTATGCATTGAGTTGATCACTGCAGTGTCACTGCTGAATCCATGCGATTGTGTATATTGTCATTTTGGGTTACCAATCAACCCATTCCATTTGACACCAACTCATTGATACCACTGGACTATTTGATCCAAATGATACGGCTGGTTCTGACAATTTGACAGTATCCACAAATCCATGTTTAATGTTTGCATACATCCCATTGATATACTACAAACTGACATTGAACGTCACATTACATTGTTTTGGTCTTGAATGGTACGATATGTATCAACCGATGTTTTGTATTCACATCCACATCCAGTATATACAACAAATATGTCCATAATTCAACATATCAGCCATATTTGATTTGACAGTCATTTGTCACATTGTTGTGTAGTTGCAATGATCAGTATCAATCATTTGCATGTAGTCAGCTGTCTAGTGTAATGTATGCAGTATGATCACACAGCATGTCATCTGGTGATATAGCATACACTACAACCATAACCGGAAACATCGATCGTCAATTGTCGTCCTAATCAATATCAACAGTTGCATCAAACAAATCCACAAATGCACAACTCGGCAAGTGCAATGCATACAACTACAACATGTGTATACGAATACCGATCGTGTCCAACTATAAGCTATGTATATTGAAACCATTGGATAGTATGTCCGACACGTCATTGGCATTGATAGTCAAGTAGTCTTGCGAGTGATCATGCATGCAACAGGTTAACATGGTTGACATGTTAGTATCGGCTGTATCAATGTGACTATATTCCAAGAACTGATCAAACACGGCTCAACATCAAGTTTGTTTCTAGCAATGGGTTTATTGTGGTACCAAACATCGACCACAGTTGTTGATTGTTCAAAAACTCGCTGTTGGAGTATTACTGGCAGCTATTTCAGTATCTGGAAATTCGTATTGTTTGCAATTGAGTTCATATTACTTGTGAGGATCGTGAACATATGACGGCATATTGATGGTTGTCATTATTGTCAAGTGTGTTGCAGTTGATTGAAGGTGTGAAGGAATGAATCAATATTCGATTGTGTTGTTTATTAACAAGAAAGTGAGTGTGTTTATAAGATGGAAGAAACCAAGAAAGTCATGTGAATTCCAGTTCAAACGTCATTGTTGATGGTTTTTGATTGTTAAACTATTCAGAAATGTCTCACATTCACACACTACTAATGTCTCACACAATGCAAGTCAACACTCTCACACTAGTAATGTCTCACATTAATGAGACATTAATTCTGGTGTAAATTTGACTAATTTCCAAATATTTCAATCGTGTGAATTGTCTTGAAATATCCCAAAATTTTGTTATTTTGACTCGATTAAAAAGTCGATTTTTGTTTTACAATTTGACAAATAAATTGCTTTTTTACTCTTTTTCTTTTCATAAAATGCCAAAACGATTCCTCAATGTTGAATACGACACACTTACTACTGAAATCGATGTAACTGACTTTGAAGACCTGAGTGACGTTCAGGATGTTATCAAGGCAAAGTATGGAGAAATTATTCCTACTCCAGCTGTTCTTATTCAGCTCTACGACCAACAGGGCCAGCTTATCGCAGACTTAGATGACATAGCAATTGAAAAAACTCCACAATACTACAAGAAACTGGCTAAAGGTGGCTCCTGTGTTGTCATTGGTGTTTCCCCTCCACCTTCAAGACAACCTACTCAAACTGACCTAGGTTCAGTATCTGCTGCAGCCTCGACCTCTCTCCTATCAACAACGGAAGGTCCCCCTCATAAACGACAAAGTACCGAACCTGAGCCTGAACCCGATGATTTGACAACACAACTGAAGTCGTTTGCAAACGCCCAGTTGGATAAAGGATGTATAAAATCGCTAGATGATGATACCTTTTTACCATATCCTCAAAACGAAGTTCAAAAATTATATGTCAGAAAGTGCTATAAAGATGTCTTTGAATTGCTCCTGGCTCAAATTGATCGTGGCATGAAATCTTTTGCAATATCTGGGACGCCGGGCATTGGAAAGTCGCTATTCTTTGTCTACATTTTGTACCGCCTGATGGATGACTTTGCCGAGAAAACTCTGTCTCTAAAGCCAAACCGAATTGTTTATCAAATGGGCTCTACGTACAAATGCTTTGACTTGCAACAACAACTCGTCACCAGGACCACGAGGATTGATGCGGAGGGATTGGTTAGGAAACAAGATACATTCTACGTTATTGATGGACGAACGTCTGAACCGCTCGTTTCGTCTTGTATTGTCTTGTTCATTTCATCCCCCCGTTCGGAATGGTACAAGGAATTTGTGAAGCAGAAGATGGCCAAGGAATGGTACTTTCCTGTTTGGACTTTCAAAGAGTTACGGGCTTGCCGACGTCGTTGCTATTCGAAATTACGCTCTAAAACTTTCAAAAAGAGATATCGCATCTATGGTGGTGTAGCTCGTTCTGTCTTTTACAAGGATTACTCCATCATTATACCAAATACAATGGAGGAAGCTTTGGCTGATGTTGATGCAGTCAAAGGGGTACGAAACGTTGGAGCACCGACCAGAATATTTGCAACTGCTCATACATTGCTTCATATCATTGTGTCGGACGACGGACAGTACAAATTCCTGCATGTTGATATTGCTTCAAAATATGTCGGGGAACAATTGTGGATATATTATTCTTCTCAAATGATCATCAATCTGCAAGAAATGTTTGGTGGTGCTCCCAACGAGATTTCAAGACATTTGTTTGAAATATACGGACATATGGTTTTTTGTACTGGTGGACAAACTCTCAAATGCAGATGCCTGGAAGATGGTACAGTGACAGATATTACTTTGGATGCACTCAATGGCCAACGAATTACATTTGGAATAAATACTATCCCTACTGCAGCAGCACTTGATGGCAACTATTACGAACCGACAGATGACGATGATTTTGCAGCAATTGATTCACTCAGTCGACAGGGAATGTTTCAATTTACAGTTGCTGCTGAACATCCTATTTGTGGAGTTGATATTCTTACAAAACTGTGCAATTTGTATGATGAACCCAAACTTTATTTTGTGGTTCCACCTCACCAGTTTAAAGGGTTCAAAAAGCAGAGTTTCAACCCAATTGATGGCACAGAGCAGGTACAACCCATTCCTGGATTGAAGCAATATGTTATACAACTTCCTGTCATACAACCAGATTTGAAGAGTAGAAAGTGATGGTTGTATTTTACAATTGATATGGCATATTTTCAACCATTCCAACCATTCCAATTATTTGATAATTCAATGTTAATACAACTGGCATCATACAATTGTGTCCATTGAAGGGATTGAGATGCATTTAGCATGAAAAGTCCAAATTCAAGTTTACTATTGTAACATACGCTTTTTGACAAATAATGGCTCTGTTGACACATCCTTGTACCATCTAATCGTGTCTGATTGAAGCATCAAGTATGAGTTTGGCAGACAACTTGCAACTTTAATCAACTTGTATACGGTAAGCATTTTGATAATGTCGGCATTTGTCAGGATATCACACCTGACAACTTTGAATCGAATTTAGCAGTGATTATAGGTGAAAACACCAATCTAGCACAACAACAATTCCAGACAATTCCAGACAATCCGATTCTGATTAGTTCTAAAACCAGAACTCACATTGTAACCACAAACCAAATGCGTTCAATATCAATCACAATCATCATGGACGAATGTATCAAAGTATGTCGTCAACTTTTGAATATTTTAGCAGTCTTGCTTAAAACAAGTGGTATCATCCAGTGCACTACATATACTACTCATGACCATTGACAACTGATTGTATAGCAATAGTGTTAGTGTATTGTGAGCAAAGTATTGATGATGGAATAACACACATTTTGGGTATGATACTAGAAACACACACACTTCAAATAACCATGCAACTATATGTTCAAACTCTGCTCCAAATATATGTTGTTGTATACAGCAAACCTGGTAAAGTGTTGTATTTTGTCATGGCTGCATTGTTCCGAGACATAATTCGAGGCTTGTTACAACGGGTTACCAGATTTGATATCCAATAGGTTTGATAAAAGTGTTGCAATTGACATTTATGTTTGTGGATAACAATATTTTGGAATCAATTCGTTCAATTTGGAAATCAGTTGGATTTCTTGCTGATATCAATATCAATGTCAGTTCAACTCAATTGATTGGAGTAGCACTCGAGTGCTTGCAGTATTGACTTTGGTTCAAACAGTAATACACAGTGACACACTGATTATCATTTCAGTGAAAAATGATACAGAAATGATCATTCTCAAAACAAGGAATCTGAATGACTGAAATACTGCGCTTATTATGCTGATAATTCAATACATGAATTTTGTCCGAATTTTACAGAGCTTTGTGATTTGTATAAATTGTAATAGTAGATAAGATACAGTAAATATAATATAATATAGTATGTTACTGCAACTGTTACTAGTTATCACAAGAAACCAAATCAAAAGTGTAATGAAAGTTGCACAGTAATCCAAGATCAACATACTTGGTCTTTTCAGGAATATTGAAAAGGTATAATAAAGTAATTAAAAAGTCAAAATCGTTTAAAAAGTTGTTTATTGATAAAAAATATCTTGGCTTCTATAGTAATTGGTTGTTTGTGGCTTGTAACACAAACAAGTATAATGCTTGATAATAAGCAGTTGTAACCAAAAGTAACTATCCAATGGTATCGATTCCTGTGGTTGGCCATGTCAATGTAATGTCATTATGTTACCCGCTAGTGGTTGCACGAATCCCAAAAATGAGGATAATGGAGTCGAGGCATATGGATTGGTGGTGATGAAGAGTTTAATTTGAAGATTCAAAGTGTGCACTACTAGAATTAGTTTTGTCACAGGTTACCGCTTAAAAGTATGTCTGGATATTCCAACACAGTATGATCAAGTCATTAGTCTAATACACTATGGTTTGGCAATACACGATGTTTATTGAATGAATGGAATTGGATGCATGACAAATGACAAGTAAACCATCATGCAATACACGCTGCATTATAGTATATTCTAGATGAGATTGTTGATGGTCCACTTTGAACTGCAGCAATGTGACGAGTCTGATTGAAAAGTTGCATCATGCTCGGATTATACGAGTTCTTCCATAAAATAATTAAAGAAATAATAGAAGCATTGACTATATCCGGGAACTCTTCCCAGTGAGGAATCACTCCTCATCAATGATCTAGACGACAAGTTATGTACGAGCATTTTCTTGAGCTCCTTTTCTTCCTCAATCTTAGTCCAAGCTATCTTAACACGTTCCTCCAGACGTTCTTCAAGTTCTTCAAGTTTTTTTTGATGCAGATTATACTCATCTTCAGCATTATCCAACAACTGACCCGGAGTTTTTTTCAGAGACTCGAATTTTTGCACCGTTTCAAGAACCACTCTTCTTTGAATACTGGTGTTATGACGTACGCCTTCAAGTCTCTCCAACATTTTGTCGATTCTAGCCCGAGTTTTTGCAATTTCTTCAATCAACGACGCTTGGGTAGTACCAAATGGACTGCAATATTTCTTAAGCCCATCTTTTGTAGGAAATTCTGGAGAGTCAGATTCATCAGCTGAAGCTCCGCTTGTAGAGGCTTTCGAAGTGCTAGCTCCAGCATTTGTGGCCGAACTGGGGTAAACTGGACCAGCTGTAGTAACTGAGCAGACAGCAAGGATTGATGACAGTACGGCAATTGATAGTTTCATTTTACTGATTTGGTTAGGCAAGTTGTAATGATTGTTGCTCAATACGTCGGTTTGGTGTCGTATTTATACTCATTATTAGATTGATAATATTAAAAGCATATTCCTTGAATGACCGTCCTAAGGGATTTGTGTTGTCAGGGCTAATAGTGATTTACTACCAATGTCAAGGTAACTTTGAAGGGATCCCCCTTTATACAATCGCCCGTTGCTTATCTTGCACCCTGATATTAGGATCAACGACCAGAGTATATTGTCGCACTATGATGTCGCTACATAGCATATTCCAGGTGATATCATTACATGATGGTACACAAGCAATATTGTCCATGCACTCCATTTATGTTGCAAGCGCTCGAAATCTTATCTGTTCAACATCACATTGTCACCAATACAATAGTATGACATGATCGTATTGTACCAATCCAGTAGTATGTGTTTACATCACGTACACCAAACCAACTCCGTGATATGCAAGTATTGCGATTTGACCAAATCACAATCACCCATATTGTCGACTGTCCAACTCGTTGACATTCAAACCGTGCCATCACTAGTCACAATATAATGGTTGACTGGTTCGTTTGATTGACCTGACATATCGACACTTTGCAAACCCCGACTTGATTCATCAACTTGGATATTCATATAATATTGGGTTTGTATCATCACGTTGGACTCGTTATCAAACACATTGATGTGTCCATGCAACACAAACTCGATATACACACATTAGTTATTGTTTGACATGACTGGGTTGATCATCAATACCAGACAATGCAACTGTATTAGTTGTATGATACAATCAATCATGGTTGGTTCATCACCATCAAATATCAAATGTTGATCACGTATACATTGATTTGTAATTGCATGGTCTGTTGGAAATGCACACTATGATATGCTTGACAGGTTGTTGATTTGCAGTAATCAGATGTGCATCGCCTGTAACATTGGATGCAATTGACGAGTTGTAACCGCAAGTCAACAATCATCGATATGTTGGTGATTGTATTGACTACATGATTGGTATTGATTAGCTGTCATGATCGATTGGTGGACAATACAATCCACATTGATTATGACGTGTTGCAACTGGTTGATATATGCAGACTCGACTGATGATCGAGTATATGTTGATGTGTAACTCTGTCACTGGTTGTTTTGATTGGTCATTGCTACTGCTTGTATATGCAGTGTATTCATGTGTGATGTATTGGATATCGGTGTTGTGTATGTTGAACAATATTCATGATTCAAATATCGACAGTCAAACATTGGTTAACCAACAGTTGTACGATTATACAACTGGTCCGTGTATTGACAAGTGATCAACATCGATCCAGTCATGGTTAAAACGGTGTATCACAGGACTCGAAAGTTGACACATTATTGTTGTGGTGTAATATTAGCAACTACACACAACTTGACATGAATGACAATGTTGATGTCGAGACTGTCAATGTATTACAGTGTATTGGTCAACAGTGGCTGCAATCAATGATAATATTGCAGTCGATCCAATCCAATTGTTGATTGGAACAATCCACATCCACTTGTCAGATTCAGCATGTAAATGAATGTTTTGTAACACATTTACCAATCCAACAATTGACTGATTTAAACATTGAATATTAAAATGTTGAATAAAAGACTCGAGTCATTATATGAATGACGTAATCAATTGAGTTGAATTGACACTCGATTGAACAATACAAATAAACACATGACAAATGTTTAATTTGATTTTAATTTCACACAAAATTGCTTAATTCAAAGTGTGAATTTGTCTCATTCTTCACACGCCATTAAATTTTGGATTTAAAGTCCAATTTTGTCTCTTTTACAAACTAAATGGAAAACACTTTACATTCAATACCTCAACAACCAACCAATGGAAATAGAAACTCACTTTGATGGAGAATTGGATATCAAAAGGCCACTTGGCGATGTTTCAACACTAATTGCAGCCTTTCAAGCAAGACCAGGGTCGCTTCTCGGTAACACTGACTCGGAACTCATCACTCCACTATGTGATGGATGGGGTGGAGACCAACTACAACGCATGGGACTCGCTTGCTGCACTTGGGACAAATGGGACTGTTGGATCCAGTCCACTGACTATCAAATCCAAGAATGATGTTGGCTCAAACCCAACAATCACTGGTTCATACAATTCTTTCAAGAAAACTATCCAGATCAATGGTATCAATGTTTCTACAAATCATCTCAAAAGACCTGTTCAACTTGACAAACTCACATACTTGGTTTGAGTATCGGTTTGTCATATTGACTTGTTCATCTGATTCTGTAAAACCTATATTCATTAATATGTATCAACATAGTCTCAAACAAATGTCATTTGGATTTGTTTCTTGGACAAGATTGCACGACACTTTTGTTGGAAATGCATTGATTGTTCCAAACAACAACGGATAGAATTGGAAAAAGTAAAACTGTTGTTTCTTGATGATGCTCAACAGTAATTACAAGACACAAGTTTATGGAGACTTTTAATCAAAGCATCGCTGAGTTGGTTGTCATTAAGCATGCGATTTATCATTGCATCAAACCATATTTTTGTTGGAGGAATTTCAAGTCCTGCTGAACTCGGTAGTCTTTCAGGTCTTGAAAAGTGACTTTCTACTTATTCCAGCCAAACTCTGTGAATTCCATGAATTTCTGGATTTACTTGTTATTGGGTTGCCAAACAACATGAACAATGAGACCTTGAAACATGTTCTTGTAACGGAATGTGATGGTCTTGTTGGTGCGCTGTGTGTGTCGATTGATGATCTAAAAACACAATGTTTAAACAATATTGAACCCACTCGAGCAGATCTACTACAATACTGTCTATCAAACGATTCCATGTTGGATATGACTCGTTGTTTTGGAAGCGACCATTCAGATCTGTTGGAAATGGTTTTAAACTGTTACTCAAGAAATGCCTGACAAAAATCATCGATTGGACAACTTGGAAAACCAACAAAATATGGAATCTTATTCATCACTCAAAAGGCTGGAATATTGATGGAGTCGTTCGACCTTGAACTTGCTTTTATTTTGCTGTTGGTCAAAAAATACTATTCAAATGGACATTCACAAACTGCTTTCCATCACAACATTTGTCTCTTCAAAAACTCATACGCAATGTTGTCTCATCAATGTCGACCAATGTATTGGAATCTGTTTCGTCATGCGGTTTTCCAAATGAAACAACTTCACAGCACATGTTTATGGAGATATTGGTTTACTTGACTAAACCAGACTGTTCAATCTAACCAAAACTATCAAAAGTATTTCCCAACAACTCGAATGTGACGGACACTATTGCTGGTGGAATTGATTATTATTTGGCCAATGAACTAGCAATCAATCAACACATTGACAGATTTGCCATACCAAATGGAAACAACGACAATCCAATTGTAATCCATATTGAGCCTTGAATTCAAACAGTCGTGAATCAAATCATTAATAAACTACAAAAACAGTCCAATATGCCAACTCGCATTTATCCACAGCTCGATACGTGATGTTCAAATGTCTAATATTCAGACTGTGCTGATTGCAATTGTGGTTGTAATTGTGGTTGTGTGTAAATATCAATCCAATACTCGATTCAATACTTGATTCAACTTGAGCATGTCCAGTTTTGTAGTAATCCATTTGATCACATTGACAGAATCAAGCAGTGATCTGATTCAACAACACCGAATGATGCATCCATATCACTTGTATCAATCAATTGTACACAATCAGTCAATATAATCAACAATCACTGTCATGATTGACATGATTGATTCAATTTATTCAATTTATTCGATCCATTCAATTGCATAGATCCAACTGGCATTGCAACTCATTGTTGTAAAATCACAACCTCACAATTCACTGCCAAGGACCAAGATTATACGCCCGCTCATATATTTTTTCGTTGTATGCCGCTGTGATTTGAATTCGGTCGTTTGTCAATTCATCTCGATAGTGTTTGGCTTCAGTTGGTGATTGAACACCTTGAATATACTGCGTGATATCATTCCACAGTTCAGGCAGTATGGGTGTCTTGTCAAGACTCGAGTTGTACCATTGTGGTTGTTGTGGAGCCACATGCGCAGTCGAAACAATCCGATATGCTGGATTCACTACAAAAAATGTCAGAATCTTGCAATGTCCTGGTTGAGTTGGATCTGCAAGTTCAAATGATTGTTCTTTGTGTTGGTATCGATTGGGATAAACTGCACATCGACCATTTGATACTTCAAGCGATCCTAGATACTGATTGCGTGGTGATTCTCGATTAATAATGCCATACACATCTTTCCAATACATATTAGATGCTATTTGATATTCAAAACGATCAACAGCCTCGCGGTAATCGAGTTTGGGTGTGGTGATATTTTCCACGTCGTAGTAATACAGTCCAATTGCAGCAATCGATTCGTTAGCTGAACCTTCATTGTGCCAGTTTTTCTTTTTGTATTTAGGTTTGGATGGTGTCAATTGAATGTTGGTGAGTTTGACAATGACTTGTAGATTACAACCACGCAGTGACACTGGTTTTGCTGATTCATAACTGGATTCAAAATGTTCCGGAAGTGTTGGTACATACACGGGACGAATGACCTGAGTATCCAGTTCCATATCATCATGGTTTGATCGGTTTGGTGGTTTATATCGATTTGTGTCATTGTGAATATCAATATACCTGAACACTGGATCCATCGTTCTGAACAGACTTTCAAACATTGGGACAAAACATTTGAATATTTTGGCAATGCATTTGTACATGTCTCGATGCCATATCGGATTCAGATTGTTGATGTATGAGTTGATGGTCACACTGCCATCCCATTCGACACGGAATTCACTCGGAAGACATTGGAACTTGCATGATATAAACTCGGGATTGCCTTCAATGATGGGCGTATCTGAAACAAGTTGAGTCGATAACAATATATCGCATGGTACCATTGTGGTGTATTTGAGTCGTATATTCAGTGGTGCAATCATCGTTTGTCCGTATACAACACTGTACATTGATGCATCAATCAGATTGTGCACCATTTGGCCAGTGTTGTGATTTGATCCATGTTCAATATCCGATACATTTGTCATCAATCGCGTGTATACATTGTCAGGTATGCCATTGTCCAGTATATACGTCAGTTCAACAGGTCCTGGGACAATTGTGCCAAATCCATCACTGCCATTACAAACAAGCTGTTTGACAAAAACCCCGAGTTGTTCCAATGCAAGATTAAATGTTGATGGTGATATATTCTGACCGAGTGAGTCGGCCCTCCATTGCTCCACAATATGCTGGTGTGTGATATCGATCCACCACATGGGTTTGCAAAGTATACATTGCAGATACTGGATATACCGCATCTCGACAAGTGTGCGTACCTCTTCATGTGTATATCCGGCCATTCCAGACTTCATATCAATTTCGGCATTGTCCTTGTATAGCTGAATACTTGAACTAGCAACATGAACCCGATGCTGGAAACACGTTTCAATGATCTGGCCAGCAACCCTTTTGTTTGTGTGATCAGCAGTATCCGATTTTACAATAGCCGTTAGATTTTCAAATATTCCGCCTTGTTCCAACTCGGTACGTATTGAACTGTCGGAATGATTGTCGGCAAAATTCACAAGTGTTTTGAGTAGTTTTACAATACTAGTGTTACTACCATTATAATCATATAAACGTATATCTGTACGTGAATAAATAGTGATGAGCTGCTTTACAATTCCATATTCTCGAAACACCTTGATCATCTCGTCCTTGTTTGTAGATTTCTGAATCATGTCGTTGACATGGCTCAACAGGTGCAAACAGCCACGTATACCAGCATCACATGCCGATATCGTCAATTGCTCAAAAATCAACGACCGTACAAGCGATACAGGAAAGTTGCGCATTTTGGATGCAACTCTTCCAGCTACTTCGATTATGCGTGTTTTTAGTCCAGAGTTGTCGCTGTATTTGGTATACAAGTCGTTCAGTGTTTGAATCAAATCCAGCCTTATCAACTCGGCTGAAACTATTTCACAACCTTTATAGTCGCATAAACTCTGAATAGTATAAATACTTTGACTAATCACTGCTTGATCGACACTCCTGTATTCATGTCATGTCAATCCAACCATGTCAAATTTACCAATTGTGATGACTGGACACACATTCATGCATAACACCACATACCTGAGAATATTGACCAGTGCTGGAATGATGCCACATTCCACTGCTTTTACTGGCTTATGGTAATGAATACTCGAAAATATGGTTTGAAGATTTTCGATAAACCCAACAGCAACTAGACCGTCGGATGATTCCAGTCGTGAAATAAGTCTTGATACCACGATGCCAAACTAATGATATTGTTCAATGTCAAGTATACAATCAGATCAACAAGACAAGACATGATACTGTACAAACTGATCCAATATTGTATCATTGCAAACATACATTTTCATCGTCAATACTATGGCAAACTTTCGAGAACAGGTCAATTGCCAATGTGAGCATTTCTTGATCCGACTCATGGACAATAATCTCAGCCATTGGTTTGATGTCAAATCCATCCTCTTCACTCCAGCGTTTATAACTGAACAACTCTGTGCATGCGTTTATCGCCTATATGCATATTGACACTGGGTGAGTTGAATGACAATCATTTGATCAAGATCAATCATGACTTGCCGCCATTTTGACTTGACGACTTGATGATTGCATGCATTGTGCAAGTTGGTTGCTTAGTCGACGAGATACTTTAAAATCATCATCATAGTATACCATACTCAAAAACACTGTAGTAAACTCCATTATTTTGATCTACACAACACATGTTGATTAGTTTAGTCATGAACAACAATCCATTATTGTTACAATATATGAATACCTGTAAACTGGGTCGATTATACTCCAAATACTTGGCTGTGATATCTTCCAATTCAATCCTCTGTAAGTGCTGCAATACATCTGTATATCATGCCATTTCAAACCAACACAAAGTCAGCAATGATTTGAATTCATCAATCATACAATGACTATTAAACTTACATGAATCATGTTCTTCCAACTCCAGTATCAACACAAGCAGTCTGTCCCATATTTCATCAACCTTGTATAGTTGAGCATCCGCTGTTAATAGTTTCAAATCTTCCAGGTGTTTGATAAACTCTTTCATAACATCATCCAACTTCATGTTTGATAAAATTAGTAAAGTTGAATTTTGATCAAATTTTGATGATAATTTCATTCATGCGAATGTCCAACAATTGCCAAGAATTGTTCATGTTTGGATTGTTGTAAAACACACAAACGAGTTGTTCCATTTTAGTATTGTTTTGATCAGTTTTTTGTAACAAAATTGGATTGTTATCAAACATGCATTTAGAAATACTGTAAATTAATATTCTGAATGTGATTGTTGTGAATTTGGTTCAATAAACAAGTTAGTTTACTACAACACATGGTAATGGATTACTAAACATCATCATAAATCAGATGGACTGGACTGGACTGGACTGAGATGAAATCAATGAAAATCGCATTACAAACAGTGTGTTGTGATTAAACCATCGAGTATTTCCAAATACAAACTTGAATGAAAAGTCTTGCCACAAGACTGATCAACTGTATTACTGTTTACACTGTGGCATTATTGATGTATTGGAATATTTGGTGTTCAGATACACAATGATAATGGTAGTACAACTCATGGCAGTTGTACAAACCAAACGTGATTAAAGCCAATAATAATGTCAGACAAGATTGGATAATGAATTAGCGTGTAAATCATCAACATTGACCAAGATTGATTGAAATGGTGAGATTGAGTTGGATGGTGATGAACACAATAAATGAGTGTACAGAGTTGTATTGACAATATTGACAGTCAAACACAACATATGAATGTGGGTTCAAACTTGGTGATCGTATAATGTATGATTACTAAAAGTGCACAAAGTGTAGATTCAACATTATAATCCGATTGTTGTATATCAAACAAGTAGTCAATGTGTAATATCAACCAACTGAACATGTAATCATTTCATAATATGAAAATACAATCACCACAAGATCAATACAAATGTAAATGTATCAAGAATTGTTTTGTAATCAAAAGCTTATAAACGTTGAAACAATTATCCAATTTAGTAAAACTCGTATTATCATGTAACCTAAACACGTTTATTTTAAAACTAGCCACTTAAACGGATAGTTCAACAGTTTTGATTCCACAAGCTAGAATTTCTTTATAAGGAGCAAGTGCGGCTTGAACTTCGGTGGCAAGAAATTTGGTAACTTGTTGAGGAGCGCGACCAACAAAGGTTTTGGCATCGAGCAAAGTATCCAAATGGGGAACAATAGGAGCAAAATAAGCAGTAGCTTTAATGCGTTCTATTAAATCGTTTTCACGACCTTCTTCCTTGACACACTTTGCAGCTTGATGTGAAAGAACTCGAATTTCTTCGTGACAGGTTTGGCGATCACCTCCAAGTTTAACCATGGCCATAATAATGTTTTCTGTAGCCATAAATGGCAACTCTTGCGAGATACGACGTGAAATGACTTGAGGGTAAACTACCATACCTTCAAAGATGTTTTGCAAAAGCGACATGACGATATCGGCGGTAAGGAAAGCTTCGGGAAGTGAGATACGACGGTTAGCAGAGTCATCAAGAGTACGTTCAAGCCATTGCACAGCAGCAGTCTGAGCAGCATCACCGGCAAGGACCATCAGATGACGAGAAAGAGAACACACACGTTCACAACGCATAGGGTTACGTTTGTATGCCATGGCTGACGAGCCAATCTGGTCTTTTTCAAAAGGTTCCTCAATCTCTTTGAGGTGAGCAAGCAAGCGAATATCAGTAGCAATCTTGTGAGCAGATGCACCAAAAGAAGCGAGAGCATTAAGAATGTCAAAATCGACCTTTCGGGTGTATGTCTGACCAGTAACCATATAGGCAGCAGGGAAACCAGACATCTCAGTGACAAGCTCATCCAGCTGTTCAACCTTGGAGTGATCGCCATCAAAGAGGGTCAAAAAAGACGCCTGGGTTCCAGTGGTTCCCTTGATGCCTCGGAATCGCAGATCCTGACGAGCACGACCAATGTTACGGAGATCCATGAGCAACTCTTGCAGCCAAAGAGTAGCACGTTTACCAACGGTAGTCAACTGAGCTGGCTGAAAGTGCGTAAAGCCAAGTGTGGAGAGATCTTTGTGGGTGTCAGCAAATGCAGCGAGTTTATGGGCAGTAGAGGCAAGCTTGGGCAGAAGAATATCAAGACCATCACGAATCATGATCAGCTCAGAATTGTCAGTGACATAGCAGGATGTAGCACCCAGATGAATAACGCCAGCAGCAGCAGGAGCAGCAACACCAAATGTATGAACGTGAGCCATCACATCATGACGACGACGTTTCTCCTCTTCAGCAGCCATAGTGTAGTCAATATCAGTGAGGTGAGCCTGCATTTGAGCAACAGCCTCATCGGTAATATCCTTCAAGCCAATCTGCTTCTCGGCCTTGGCAAGAGTCAACCAAAGTGAGCGCCAAGTAGAAAACTTTTTGTCATCGCTAAAGTTGTAAGCCATTTCTGGAGAGGCATAGCGAGAAGTCAATGGAGATTGATAGCGAGAATGGTCTGACATTTGGTGATAATAATCAAGTAGATCAGTAATGCTGGAGTGGTACTAGAATGAATGGCAATGTTGAATTAGTACAATAAAATTGATTGGCAAGAATTTAAAAATTATTTACAGCCGTATTCATGTAAAATAAAACACTTTATCTTGGATTGACATGATTTTTATTACTAAAAACGCCGACTTTACAACAATCAAGAAATGTCTGGCACGATCATGTCATTGAACAAGTTGTATTGTAACTTGATAAATACGTTCGCGCTCTAACTCGAGAAAACTGCGATTGAACATTCCAGGAATTCAACTATAATGTCAATCACTCAATACCATAATGTTTGGTTTGAAAAAAAGAAAAGTTGAAGATTCAACAAGTGTCAAGAATGTGGAATGTGATGTAAAGATTCACTCTGTATTTTTGTACAAGAATGAACAAAGATCAATAAACTTTTAGTTTATAAAACAATATTGTTCAACAAGATTGGCATCAGTCAATCCATGACTGTTTATCATGTATTTCGACATTCTCATTGACCCATTTTACGTGAATAGATTATATGAATCGACTTTATCCTTTTTGCACTTTTTCTCATTACTATCAATTCAGCTAAATGAAACCAACGGCTGGTGGAGAAGGCTACAGCAAAAAATCAACTACAAAACTACCATCTACTCTTGAAGGAGAGCTCGCTAATCTTCCATCTGGATCCAGGTTTAGTTTCAAGGCAAAAAAACCAACCATCAATAGAAGAGAAAATAGGAAACTCGAGCGATTGGCAAAAAAACAAAAAATCAGCCAAAATGCTCAATTACGAAAGAATCCCAGCAAGCTACGCACTCCTAATAAGCCATCTTTTACTTCTCCAGAGAGTGAAGCAATGAAGGCAGCTGTAAGTTTGGGTCTTGTTTATTCATCTCAAGCTCAATCAAGTCTAACCAATATTTTTTATTTAAAATGTAAAAAGGCATCGAAAAGAGTTGATGCAATTCTAAAACAACGAGAAAAGAAAAAAGAGGCAGCTGAAGCTGTAGCCAAGTTACAGTCCAATAAGGATCGTGAAGAACAGCAACTACGTAAACTGGCTGAAAAAAATCCAGCCTTTTTCAAACTGCTTCAAGACCAAAATTTAGTCTCGAAACGAATTTCTGTTGGTCATAATGCTGCCTCCACCAGCATAGAATTAGATGCCGAAGAGAGCAATATTAAAACCTACTCTAAATTATTGAAATTGAAAGATGGCAGTATTAATCAAAGCTTCAAGCGTGACGGTCTCGATTGTAAGCAGCGTTTATTGTATATTTTATAATCTTGACACTTGTTCAAAACAACTCAACCCTTTTAATACTTGCATGCCATGTTTAATTTTTTAACATTATGCAGTCCTTCTTGATGGCATTTCAACAAAGACTTCAAACCCTAAAAAAGATTTTATTGGAGATCCCGATGCAGACAGTGAGGATGAGTTTGGATTTGCGGCCGAGGCTCAAGATGATGTTGAAATGAATGTCAACAACGATTCTCAAAGTGTCGAGTCAAATGAATCTGGAACTGACGTTGAATTGGAGCAAAGCGACTCTGAGAATGACGGCTCTGTTGACTTTGATATGGAAGCGATCAGTGAAACTTCTTCCTTTATAAGCAATGATTTGGAAGAAGAGTCAGGCGACGATGAAAAATCATTTGCAGCATTTGAGGATAATGAAGGGCAATCCAATGATGAATCTACAAAAGAGACCTCGGCTGAAATAGGAAAATATATTCCACCCTATCTTCGTAAACAAACTAATAGTAAAAGCGAGCAGTACATCCGTGTTCGTCGACAGATTCAAGGCTTGTTGAATCGATTGACAGACACAACTTTGGAATCAATTGTATTGAGTATTGAAGAAGTATTTCGTAACAATAGTCGTCATGGTATGTGATTTGTTTTGATAAATTTGGTTAAATATAAAACTAATTTGATGTGTTGCAGATGTCACGGAAATTATTACGGATATCATGTTGAATTATGTTGGAGACCAAGCCAATATTCTCGACTCGTTTATTGCGACATATGCTGGTTTGATTGCAGCCATCTTCAATACAGTTGGCATAGAATTTGGAGCACATTTTATTCAAACATTAACTGAAAAGTTTGATTCCGCACGAACAAAATACATTGAATCCAGTCATGATCACGCTGACGAAATCGATAAGCAATGCACCAATTTTTCCATGCTTCTTGCGATGCTGTACAATTTCGGTGTTGTATCTTGTGTGCTTCTTTATGACATCATTCGAATGTCAATAAGTTGCCTGAGCGAGTTGGATGTAGAAGTCCTTTTACGTATTTTGAGATGTAAGTATAATTTCTTGAATAGTTTGCTAGCATACTGGGCATGCCAACTTACAGATGTCTTGCCAAATCTAATGTGTTTTTGGTATTTTGTTTAGTGGGCGGTCAGCAATTGCGATCAGATGATCCAACGGCGCTTAAAGATATTGTTTTACTTGTCAAAGATGCTACGTCTAACATGGATCAGAAAAAACTAAGGTAGCAAAAAATACAAGTCATCATTGTCTCAGTTGTTTACACTTGTTAACCACTATCAATGCATTAGTATTAGACTAAAGTTTATGATAGAAACAATCATGGATCTCAAAAATAACAAGCGCAAGCACATGGATCAAAAAGTAGCCAACCAATCTCAACAAGATCGTATTAAAAAGATTGTAGCCAACATTTCCAAGCGTCGATCGATGCATGGTTCAGAACCTTTACGCGTTGGACTGGAAGATATTCGCAATATAGCGACCAAGGGAAAATGGTGGCTGGTAGGCTCTGCGTGGGTCGGACACGATTTTAGTAAAACAAATGACAAGGCTGTTTCAGAAGTAAAAAAAATGCAGCCTCAGTCCCTAGAGCTACTGGAAATGGCTCGAAAAAACAAAATGAACACGGATGTGCGTCGTAGTATTTTTGTCGTGCTCATGAGCAGCGAAGTAAGTCAAAGCCAAGTTTTGTATTTTTTCAAGTATACCATAAACTTTCTTTTAAAACAGTCCTGCCGTTATTTTTATTGTATCTAGGACTGTCTGGATGCGTTTGAAAGGCTATTGAAATTGAATTTAAAAGGGAAACAAGGACGAGACATTGTCAGAGTGACGATCCATTGCTGCACACAGGAGATGGTGTACAATCCGTACTATGCACTTGTAGCAGAACAGTTTTGTAAGCATGAACATGGGTTCAAAATCACCTTTCAATATGCTATCTGGGATGCGTTGAAAGCAATGAATGGAAAAGAAGGCATGTATGATGATGACGACGATGGGGATGCGTATACAGGCGAAAAGGGATTGATTCGAGTGGCCAATCTTGCACGAATGCTAGCACATCTCTTTGCCAACGAGTCGCTTCCACTTTCTATCCTCAAGGTAATTTTTAAATTCTCTCCGCTTTCTTTGTGCATTATTATATACGTTTCAAATGCACTCATTTTATTAATTTTGTTTTAAACTTATTAATATATCACCGAATCTACAAGGCTGCCAATTTTACCACGCCGACAAAGTTGCAAATCTTATTTTTTAGGATTATAATCATTGACATGATTTTAAAAACACCAGTGCTGAAATCTTCTAATCCTGACAGCAAGTTTCAGCGACCTTTTACTCGTGTCAAGTCACAACCAGAGTTGTCTGCACTTTGTGAAGGACTATTTCTGACTGTACAAGCACATATCCTTCTGCCTTTGAATTCAGGCCAGATAAGTGCATTGGGAATCAAAGAGAAAGATGCTGGACTGGTTCGACAAAGAGCAAAATTAATCAAGGAGATCTTTTCTTGAGTGTGGTTTAGTTGATGATATGAAATTTTGGCAGTCTACTGTGCTACAGCAGTGCCATGTGTGAACAAATACATTTATATTGCAAGTAATGACAGTTGAACTATGATGTGCATACTGATCGCGAATGTAGAATAAACTTTCAGCAGCTGTACTTGATGGGATTATAGTAAAACAAAAGCAGATTTGGTGACTAGCATGCGCTAATATGGCTTGGTATAAAGCAAGAGTATTACACTTGTAGTATTTTATAAACTGATATTTTTTAAATAGATTGTATACAATACTGTGTCGAGACCAAAATAATTGCCAATCAAATAAAAGTCAGCACCAGTTGAGCGTGATTTCACGTGACTAGTGGATTGCTGATTCAAAGTCTGTATTTGGACTTTGCCCAACTTGAAGCAATGATTACTGTGATTCCTCGGTTGGAGCTGGTTCTCGATGAATTATCATGCAAGGGAAACACCATTCCTATTTATACGGAATTTTCTTCAGACTGTATTACTCCAATGATGGCATACTTGCGTCTGACTGCCGCATCATCTCCAATAAATTCTTTTCTCTTTGAATCCGTTCTTGGTGGTGAAAAGATTGGAAGATACTCGTTTGTTGGTGCTGGTATGTTTTTTATTCATGCTGCATTGTTTAATACTTTCAATTGGTGTTGTTACTAGACTATTCAACCATCAATGGACGCACTGATCAAATGGATTGGCTATTATCTTTTACAATCCTTTTTGAAATATTGATTTTAACCTTTTGACGATTTATTTCCAATTTGTTTTTATAGAGCCTCGTCTTGTAATCCGCACTGGAGACAATGAACCCATTTCTGGTGACCCTCTTAAAGTGGTCGAGGATGAACTCAAATCTACAAGATTTGTTCCTGTACCTGGCTTACCAGATTTTACTGGTATGTTTTCCAAATCTGTATATTTCTACACTAAATAGTTTGAGTCAATTGGGTAAATACAAAGTTTATGTCGCACTGTATCAAGCCATGTGTATAGCATGACTAGTTTATTGCTGAAATCGAGCGAGATTGTTATTGTTAAATCAAGCCTGTACTAAGTATATTTTCAAAGCATAGGTGGAGCAGTTGGCTTTATTTCGTATGACTGTGTCAGGTACTTTGAGCCAAAAACTGCACGGTCGTTGGAGGATCCGTTGGGTATTCCAGATGCCGTTTTTATGTTTTGCGATACAATCTTGGTGTTTGATCATCTGTTTGGAATTTTGCGGATCGTATCTCATGCAAAATGGACCGATCTCAACCCATCTCAAGAGACCATAAAGACAGCTTATAATACTGCTCAAGCCAACATCAAACGAGTAGCAGATGTTCTACTATCCGAACATGTTCCCAAAATCCCTCAACCACCTATCGTGACAGGTGAACCCAGTGTTTCTAATATTGGAAAAGAAGGATACGAATCACATGTGCTAAACCTCAAGGCTCACATTATGGATGGAGATATCATTCAAGCAGTGCCCTCTCAGCGTATCAAAAAAAGAACAACACTACATCCGTTAAATGCATACCGCAAGTTGCGCACGGTGAATCCGTCTCCTTACATGTTTTATGTGGATCTTGGAGACTTTCAAATTGTAGGAGCATCGCCTGAAATGCTAGTGAAGGTGGAAAACCGAGTAGTCTACACCCATCCCATTGCAGGAACTCGTCATCGTGGCAAGACGCCTGCGGAAGACGATGCATTAGCAACCGACTTGATTAATGATTCCAAGGAGCGAGCAGAGCATATAATGCTAGTAGATCTAGGTCTTAATGATGTCAATCGAGTCTGTGATCCAAACACAGTCAAGGTAGATTCATTAATGCATATTGAGCGATATGCTCATGTAATGCATATTGTGAGTAATGTATCGGGTACACTCAGACAGGACAAGAGTCGGTTTGATGCCTTTAGATCTATTTTCCCAGCAGGGACGGTGAGTGGAGCACCCAAAGTTCGGGCAATGGAGTTGATTTATGAGTTGGAGAAGGAGAAACGAGGAGTGTATGCAGGATCGGTTGGATATTTTTCATATTCGGGAGGACTGGATACATGTATTGCTATCCGTACAATGGTGTTCAAAGACGGATATGTGTACATGCAAGCAGGAGGTGGAATAGTACATGACAGTCAGCCATGCGCAGAATATGAGGAAACCATCAACAAACTACGATCGAATGTCATTGCACTGGAAGCAGCAGAAGCCCAACACTATTCGCTCCAAAAGGAAAATGTTGAATAAAAATATCAACTTTATCAAATAAAAACTCGACCATTGACATGACTACGCTGCTGATTGACAACTACGACTCTTTTACTTGGAACGTATATCAACTGTTGTCAGAACTTGGAGCCAATGTCAAAGTGGTTCGCAATGACCTCATTACCATTGACGAGGCCATTCGTTTAAACCCGAGAAATGTTGTTATTTCTCCTGGGCCAGGTCATCCTTCTACTGCTGGCATATCAAACGATATTATTCGACATTTTGCTGGACTGATTCCTATTCTTGGAGTATGTCTGGGTGAACAGTGCATATATGAAATATACGGCGGGACTGTTTCTCGTGTTGGAGAACTCGTTCATGGTAAAACCACTCAAGTCATGCATGATGGCTTGTATTTATACGATGGAGTTCCTCAGAATATTGAATGCACTCGCTATCACTCACTTGCTGGCACTCTCGATACTCTTCCAGATGTTCTCACCATCACTGCTCGTACTGCCAGTGGTGTTATTATGGGTGTTCGTCACAACGATCTGGTCATGGAAGGTGTCCAATTCCATCCCGAATCCATCGCCAGTGAATCGGGTCGTAAGCTGTTTGCCAACTTCCTGTCCTGGGAAGGCGGTCATTGGTCTTCTCTTAAAATCAAGGCACACTTGGTCAACTACGATGAGGCTACCGAGCTAAACCGTGTTGCTTCTGCCGCTTCGTATCCTGGCGTTGGCAATGGCATTCCTCTATCTGCCATCACCAAGCTTAATTCTACTTCTAAATCTGTCACCACCACAGCTACTGGCCCATCTGAGAATATTCTTGAAAAGATCACTCGACAGAGAAAACGGGATGTTGTTGCTGATATGACCAAACCTGGATGTTCATTCCTTCATCTTCAACGCTCCATTGCTCTTGGCTTGGCTCCTATTGCCATCAACTTCAAAGACCGACTTGTTCAAAACGATCAAGGTCAGGTTGCTGTTCTTGCTGAAATCAAAAGAGCTTCTCCGTCCAAAGGTGATATCTGTCCATCTGCTCATGCTGCAACCATTGCTCAAACATATGCTGTTAGTGGTGCATCTGCCATCTCTGTCTTGACTGAACCTACTTGGTTTAAAGGATCTCTTTCTGACATGTTACAGGCCAGATTGGCTGTTCAACATATCACCAATCGTCCTGCTATTTTGTGCAAAGATTTTATTATCGATCGCTACCAGATCTTGCAAGCTCGATTACATGGTGCAGATACACTGCTACTGATTGTAGCTTGTCTTACTGATGATCAGCTTTTGAGTCTTATGTCATTTTCTCGTCAACTCGGCATGGAACCACTGGTTGAAGTTGCTTCGGCAGAAGAAATGCAGCGTGCAGTAAAGCTGGGATCGCAAGTCATTGGGGTCAACAACAGAGATCTTAAAACATTTAGTGTAGATACTTCTCGCACTACTGAACTTGCTAGTATGGTGCCATCTGATGTTGTATTGATTGCTCTAAGTGGCATTACTTGTCGTAGAGATATTGAACCTTATCTTGCTGCTGGTGCTCGTGGCGTGTTGGTTGGAGAGGCTCTTATGAAGGCATCCAACAAACACGCATTCATTGGATCTCTTGCTGATCCATCTATTCCTTACTCGGAATCATTTCAATCTGCATCCATGGCTCATTCTCAGCGTGTCAAAATATGCGGCATCACAAATACAAAGGACGCAATAGCTGCTGTTGATGCGGGTGCTGATTTTTTAGGTCTGATATTTGCTTCTTCCTCTGCTCGTCGTGTAGATGCAACACAGGCAGCTGAAATTGTATTGTCTGTACGAAAAGAAACCAACACTCATCGATCTGTAACACCATTCTCTCGAGTATTGGCTACATCCTTTCCCACATATGCTTCACACACTATGAATGCCTCTCCAGAAGCATGGTTCATGTCTCGAGCAACTGATGGTGTTTTGCCTCGTCGTACTCCACTGTTTGTCGGCGTTTTTACCACTCAAAGTGCATCAGAGATTCAGTCCATCGTTGACACAGTTGGCTTGGATTTGGTTCAGATGCATAATGCTACACCCGATCCTGATCTACCCGCTCTCATATCTGTTCCTACTATACAAGTTCTTCATGTCGATCCAACTACAACAGGCGAAGCATTGCTACAGCAAATTTCGTCATTTTCTCATCGTGCGTCTTTTATTCTACTAGACACTTCTGCGGCTGCTGGCAGTGGATCTGGTGGCAGTGGTCAGGTATTTGATTGGAGCGTGGCGAAAAAAATCTCGGCCTTGAAAATTCCCTTTTTTTTGGCTGGTGGACTATGTTCAAATAACGTTTCCGAAGCCGTTTCGACTGCACAGCCATGGTGCGTTGATGTATGCTCAGGAGTAGAAATGGAAGGAAAAAAAGGAATCAAGGATGAATCCTTGATGCAACTGTTTGTCAAGAATGCTGCTTTTAGATGAATATTAAAAATAGCCTATTATTTTTATTTTCTATATCAAATTTTGGATACCATGTCCAATAGTTTTGATGGCTCATATATTATCACCAAAAATATTTGCCTCGTGTTTTGAGCTATCCAAATTGTATATTACTTTATAGTTTGGATTCAAAATCATTTCTTTTTGCAAGTCCAGTCATTATTAAAAATCCGAATAAAGTATACAATAAAACATGACAAGAAACAATTTCGACTTTAGCCGTATTCAAGTAAAGTGAAACTATTTTACAATGTTATTTTGAAATAGACAATGGTTAAACATTCGTTATATTTTCTACTACAAACTGCCTTTAATCGACATTCTCGGTTCTTTAATAAATACACCATCAAACTATGGTTTAAAGCAGGATTTTTCCCATTTTGAATAGTTATATATTGTACTATTACTAAATTTGAACCCATATATTGGGTCGACTGTTTTTGATTAAATTCATTATTGTTGTATTTTGGATCTTGGATCCGTCTGCGCTCAGTTCAACAAAAATGAACGTGAACGAGAAAGATTAGTGAGCTTTGTCAAGGAATTTAAAGGGAATAATATTATCCAGAAAAATAATCCATCATGTCATGACACTGGCCGCTTATATAGACACTCTTATTTAGTGGTCCATTTTACGTGAATATGTTGTGAATACTAGAATGGCATGCATATACGGGTAGTTTGACAGGTTATACTGAATGCAGGCGGAGTTTACATTAAACTACTCACATTCTAATTTCAATCCATCGTTGCTAATCTGGATAATAAACAACCAACACATGCATTTACATTGTCATGTCTTGCTTACTTTTAATGATCGTGTGAACCATTTCACACAGTACTCGACCTATAAAACCATTCAATTCCTGCACCAACATTGATATTCACCCATTGCAATCTACAACTTACTACTACTACACGCTCTTGACTGCTTTAATACAATGACTTCAATCAACCAACTGCCATCTTCGTATCAATTTGCAATTTGCAACCCATTGATGCAATCTTGCATGTCGCCATCAGGCAACTACAAACAGAATCCATTTGAAGTCGTGCCATTTTCCAACCCCGCATTGATTCAGCAACTCCACCAGTTTGGAGTTCCATCTGGATTGAGTGGTGTTCATCCTAGTGTTTATTCCAATGTTGGATTGAGTGGTGTTCATCCCAATGTTTATTCCAATGTTTCTCCATTCAACACGCCCAACACGGTCAATGCTTTAAACTCTTTCTGTCCAGTTGATCCATTGAGCCATCACATGCAGATCCCTCGATTCAACCAGTTCAGTCAACTTCCATTGAACCAGATGAGTCAGATGAACCAGATCAACTCGATCCCTCAGTTTGGTCAAATCCCTCAGCTCAACCAGTTTGGTCAACTTCCATTCAACCAGCTCAGCCAGCTCAACCAGATTCATCAGTCTTATCCCCATGCTGGTATGAATGTCCACCATACTGGCTTGAATGTTCCCAACGTCACTCCCATCCAGGAAATCACCAAAGGTAAGTTGATCAAACTACATTTTTTTAAATTTGCATCTGTGTAGTCATCGAGTATATGCCAACACTTTACCATGCTTGTCAGATCTTATTATTGATCGTACTCGCGACTTTAACAACCTCGAGCTTGTGTCGGATGTTGCCGATGCGTGTTCTCAGCCTCGTGCTACTGATATGATCATCAGCCATCTTGCTCAAGGTGTTGTGCCAGCTACCCCTCAGCATATTGCCATGATACTTTGCAATGATCGTTGCATTGACAAATTCGCCAACATGTTGATTGGAAATGTTGCAAACAACATTCGCTTCAATCGTCGAACCAACGAGATTCTTTCCAACCTTGTTCGTGGTATTCCCCACACTCGTCGTGTTGATGAAGAACGAAAAAACAAAACCGATGATGCGATCGATCTTGGACTTGCTCGTTCTGCTCAGCAACTGCTTGCTGATTCCAATCTTGGTAACTCAGTTTGGGTTGGCCGTCAAAAAGCTGAGCGCAAAATGAAAGCCATCAGAGAATTAATGACTCCCAATGCATTCGGTCAGATTGATCCATCTGTTCAGATTATGTTGAACTTGATTCCCCAGGTCGAAAAACTGTATGCTAATGGTGTTGGTCCCGCTTCGGTTGTTGAACATCTCTCCGCTTCTGGAACCATTCTCCCCCGTGTTGCCGACTCGTCCATGTTTTTCAATGCAGATGTGTTGGGTCAACGTCAGATTGGATTCGGAGGTATGACAGGATTCAACGCACCTTGGACCAACTCGGTGCAAATGGGTGGTCAGGGTTTCCCCGGTTCGTTCATGGTTTAAATGCTGTCTAGGCAATGATGTGATGATCTGACAGTTCAATCTCATTCACCACTCACCATTTCCAACTATGCCGAAATGAACACGCTTTTCCTTATTTTGTTTAATAGTTACTCAATGCATATTAGTATAAAAGTACACTTGGCATTCCTAGGTTAACTCCCAATAGGTTAAACCTTTACAACTGTATCCACAAAATGTAGCACTAAATAAGAATGTTAAAGTGCATGGTAGCAGCCAGTCTTACAAATAACGAGTCTCGCTAAATCATTAGGCAACATTGTACTTTTTGAGCTTGTCAACACAATGCATTGGTATTGTTGATGGTGATCAGCATGCAAACAACAATTGCATTACTGAAATGTGCCATCATTGTTTTCTTGAACTAGACTGTGAATGTATCTGATTTCAAAATACAACATATATGAGTGTGTATAGAGTGATGACATCAAAACAACCGAGCTCAATATTCGGTTCCAAACTTGGCAATCATGCAATACACGATTATGGTAAAACGCAGAAAAAACATTCAAAACTACAGTTTGATTGTGCGCATCATATAGTAGACGTTGCGTTGATTGAAAAAACAGTCGATTTGTAATGAGAAAGTGCAACAAATCATCAAGCAGTATGTATCTCAAAATAGCACTGCAAGATAGTGTTCCATTTACGTGAATACGACCGTAAATTGGTTGAGATATTAAATATTTAATTTGAGTTTCCACATTGAAAGTGTTGCAAATGAAGCATGATTATCCGCATATCCTTGCGCGAGCAAAACAGCTTCAGCAAGCCTTAAACAATCTTGTAAATCGTTATACATATGGATTGATACACGCACATATTGTTTTCCTTTAAATGTAAATACAGGTACTTCAATTTGATGCACAGTGTAGAGAATATCGTGCAAAGTACTAAAAGCACATGTATCTGTTTCGCAAGTTTTCGCTGGCAAGCCCACTCGAGGAGGAATCAAAACCGCAATCATGCTTGATGTCATTGATTCATCTGGCGAGAGAGTGTTTGTGCACCAAATGGAGGATAATATTTTGCCTACTTCAAGAGCAATGAGTCGATTTCTAGTCATAATTTTGTTTGGGTTAAGCCAGATGTAAAGACGAATAGATGTCACTAGACTGAGATAAGGCGAGTAATCCGCTGTGCCCTGCCACAAAAACTCGGCATGGATGCCTTGATTCATACCCCATGAGGTGACAACTGGGTGAATAAGCTTATGATGCTTTGGCTGGATATCTGTGTAATATATAATTTAGGGATACGAGATATTGTGATAAATAGCATGCATTAATAGATGTATGCCATTGATCATTTACGACTTACATAACAATGCGCAGCCACGACCATTACAAAGCCATTTATGCGGATTAGTAACATAGAAATCTGGTCCAAGATCGTCTAAATGTAATTCCACCTGTCCTATTGAGATTTATTGCGATTTACGTAAAAATAAGTTTAATTTCTTGAATCATTGACCAGCCTCGATTATTTTTTAAATAGTAGATTCAAGGCTAAATACCAATTCCATGGGCTCCATCAATAAGAGTAAGAATATTATTGCGACGACAAATTTGAATGATCAAGTCGATAGGAAGAACCAATCCTATAGTAATGAATGTAAAGAGTTGAACAAGGCATGGATAAACTGGTTTGAAACGCTTGAATGAATTCAGTACCTGTAGGACTAGTGATGTGTTCGAATAAGCCTAGCTTAATTTTTCCAATAAAGTCATTCTCGATACTTTTTAAAAACGTTTCCAAGGCCAAGACAATAGATTCCGAAGTGATTGGATCTGGAGTAGGAATTCTGATTACAGAAGCATGACTAGCCATCGCAACAGCATCCAATGCATTCAGTACAGCACTGTATGTGAAATCAAATGCAATAATCAAATCTCCTTTGCAAAATGGGATGGATTTTAAAACAGCACTGATGCCATATTCCACATTTGTGACCAATTGAATGTTGTGCGGTGCCGAACCAACAAATGCAGCAGCATCTCGTTGCGATCGTACCATATAAGGGAAAAGTTGATTATAAAAGAAATCGACAGGATTGTATTCCATTTTTGCAGACCATTTTTGAAGAACATCAAGAGTTGGTGTAGATACTGCTCCATAAGACCCATGCGCTAGAAATGACACTGCAGTTGCGGATATAGAATCAGGATCTACAGTGCCAAGCAGCTTGAATAAAGTATTTTTGGTGGTTAATCCAAATTCTGGACATGAAGTAGCATGAAAGTAATCGACCCATCTATAATGTATTTGAAATGATAAGCACTAGACTTGTATTGGCAGTGCTCGAGATACAAGACTGCTTACTCTTGTTCAAACAAGGTGTTTTTTGGACGCACAAGAGCATATTCTTCAGTGGTAAGATTTAGCAATGCAGTAGCCTGTGTATAGAGGGAAGACATTGAATTCAGAGATTGATAGTGTAATTGAATTCAAAGATAAGCAATTCGATATAAAAATAGTTGCACTTTCAGAATCACATTTTGATTTATTGGTCGCATCACCTTGAAGGTACTCAATTCAAGACATGAGCGAGTGTGTCGTACCCACTGCAAATATCAAGAGTATGAGTGCATGCATTCTGTTGATCATCTTTATATTGCATCAAGTGTATCTGCTCATGACTGTCTTGGTGTCCAATAGCTTTTGCCAAGTTTCTGACTACTTTGGCCAAGTTTGGAGATGATATCTATCTGGACTATCGAGAAGACAAGGCAGGTTCATTCTTTATTGAATGGTCTGGTTCTTATTGCAACATGATTCAATGCCATCGACTCAGAAACTACATTCAAATTGTCCGAACAAACGGACAACTTTGGAGTGTAGTTTGTTTCCTCAATCCTTCCCAGCTTACACTGCTATCTATTCAAATACTTTGATCATGTAGCTATTGCTTTCAACATTTAATACCGCAAAGTCTGTATATGCAGTTATATCTATCCAACCGAGTTTTTTTGATAGCTACGCTTTTGTTCCAGGACAACGATGCCATCGACTGTTGATCAAGGTGACAATCCATGTCTATGCTGGAACAATTTCCTATAGATTTATGTTATGCTTTCGAGTATTGGGATGGATTTAGGCTTAATGAGTTTGTGAGGTAGCCTTTAGGGAATATATTCAAAAACAGCAGTCAAACCGACACGATTGAGCAATGTCGAATCAAATCTGTATCTGAGTTGGGAGAAGAACGATTAGTAGTTCAATTGGCATGTCGATTTGGTAGAGTTTATTTGGCTTGTTTGTTATATGTTGAATGTCAAAGCCATTGATATTTATAGATGATCAATGTATTGGGATTATTCAAGGTGTTCTCAAAACACATCGATTCAACTATGAAGCATGCGAATCAATGCAACCAGTGTACTCCAAAGATTGTCTACATAAATGGATTGCATCTCCACGCATGATTCATGATTTACTGGCTCATTTCCAGCAGAAGTTGAAGGAGGTGACACTTTCGTGTGGTATCAGCTGGTTTAAAATCAAGAGTTTTGAAGACTCGTTTGTTCCAGATGGATGTAGGTTGATGGTTTAAGATGGACAGATTAACTCAAATGTTCAAAACTGAAACTAATAGTTGTTTAGCCACTGTGGTTAGATCGCTTGAAACCGAGATTACTGTTGACGTTACCGAGTTTGAATTGTATCAAGTATTTGGCGAGGCAAATCTGACGTTTGAGCTCAAGGATTTCAAGGTATTAATTTGATGGGTTTAGAAACCAATTCGAGACTGCACATTTACACAAACATGATGTTTTGATTGCATACTAGACAGCATTAGCATTTGCAGAGTTGGTTGAGTTGCCTATTACTGCACACTTTGATCAAAACGAAGGGTAAGTGACTGGTTCATGGCAAGACTATTTTTAATGCGAAATACTTGAAATGATTAAAACAAAGCAAATTCATGTACTTGAACAGACCCATTTCATTCTCATGTGTGCCATATCCAAACCATTTCACAGCAAACTTTGTGGTTGCTGCCACATTTAATGCTCAAGGCACTCAGACATTGGATCCGACACGATCACAAGCAGCAGCAATGCAACCAAATCAAGCAGCGATACCGTCATTGCAATCAGGACAAATACAATCAACAGGTAATGATTCGCAGACGCCTCAACGACAGTTTCCAAAGTATCAACTGCAACTTCAACAGCATCAAGAATCTGAGCAAGAGTATGAAATGGATGCTAGTGGAACGATAGTACAGCCATCTCAAAATGTTTTCAAGCCCTTACCAGGATTGCATCATGACTATGTAGAGGTATTAGTTCCTCAAAGTCCAACAGGAACGAATGAACAAGAGAGTGATTTGGGCGAAGAGTATCATTCACAACATGAGCAGTTTTATGACACAACACCGCGTAGTGGAGAGTCTAAAGAGAATCGATTGGAGAGTCGATTGATAAATTTAATGGCAAATCAAGACGATGAATTCATTTGTATTACGACTGGTGACAAAGGACGTGAATATGGAGAGAGAAAAACAAAGAAGATGAAAAAATAAAGAATTGTCAGTGACCATCGCTTGATGATGCAAATATCAGTAAATTTCTGATTTAAATTGCGGAATTATTAGACTGAATCAACAGCGATGCCATCAGAAATCAAACCAATTTCTTGAATATTTCTGCGTTCTCATTCCTTTTGTCTTGAACTTTAGCAAGCGCGATTTTCTAAAATCGGAATTCAAATCGATAATAAAAACTTGAATTATTCTATTGCAAATGTACATTAAGCAGGTAATCATATCTAGTCTAGCAGCTGTTTATCTTGGATTCACTTGGAGAATGGCTGTCTTGATTGGTTTTAATTAGTCTTGGTTTGATTATCTTGTTTTGTATAGATTGTTATTCAGGGATTCAAGTCTTACAAAGAACAGACTGTTATAGAGCCATTCAGTCCTGCACACAACTCTGTTGGTAATATCTATGCAATCATGTTTCATTTTATACTGCCAGACATTGTCTTTAACACTTGGTGATTGTCCATTGTATTGCAAGTGGGTCGAAATGGTTCTGGAAAGAGTAATTTCTTTTGGGGTGAGTGAATGACTGTCCGATATGGTCGGACCAATTGCATGGAATGTTGCTGTTTGTGTGCTAATCCACCGTCATTAGCAATTCGTTTTGTACTTGGAGATGCTTATGGAAACATGACTAGAGAAGAGCGTCAGGCTTTGTTACATGCAAGTGTCTTGTATCAATTCCTTGCGGTTTCATCGATTCTTATGCGTATTTCTTTTAGGAAGGAACTGGTCCTGCTACAATCTCTGCGTTTGTTCAAATCATATTCGACAATACTGACAATCGATTCCCTGTATGTGTTGCTTTGGGTCAGTCGTTGTATCTAGTATCATATGTGACTTATTAATTCCCTGTTATGTTCCATACCAACTACAGACAGGAAAACCAGAAGTGACTCTGCGTCGCACTATTGGTCTTAAAAAAGACGAGTATTCTCTTGACAGAAAGAGTGTCACGTAAGTTAATGTCTAGACTCGATCTTCAAATCAGATAAATTCAACTCATTTATTGATTCATATTGAAAACATGATCCAGTAAGTCTGAAGTCATGAATTTGCTTGAAAGCGCTGGATTTTCAAGATCAAATCCTTATTACATTGTTCCACAGGGTCGTGTAAGTATAGATGTTGTATGGATCAATCCGACTGGCTGAAATCTAATATTCATTCCGTGTAGATCACTACACTTACAGTTGCAAAAGACCACGAACGTTTGCAGGTACTAAAAGAAGTTGCAGGTACCAAGGTGTATGAGCAAAGACGGCAAGAAAGTGTTAAAATCATGGAAGAAACTCGTATGTCTGCCAATATTGTGAATCTGCTTTGTCGATTCAGACTTGATGCTAAAATAATACTTTAATTTTACACACATATAGGACAGAAACAAGGCAAGATTTGTGAACTACTTGCATACATCAACGAACGGCTCAGTGAGCTGGACAAGGAAAAGGAGGAGCTGGACAAATTTCAAAAAGCTGAAAAAGAACGCCGATGTTTGGATTACTCTCTGTACTTTCAGGAACAAAATGACGCAGCAGAGGCATTGGCAGAACTGGATTTACTTCGACAAAATGAGATTGAAAATAATCTTATTCAATTCAACGAACTCAGTGACCATGAACAATTTATTCAAAAGTTGGAAGAGGAGCTACTAGCCAGCACTCAGGAGCTGCGCCAACTCACCACTGAACGGCAACAAATTGATGATGAACATCAAGACTATATTCGAAACAAGACCAACATTGAGCTTACTATAAAAGATGTTCAAGATTCATCACGATCCAAAGAAAAAAATCAGGTATATACTTTTTGATTGAAACTGGTGTTTTATAGTTTAGACAATATACTTTTGTAGACTCGACTTGATCTTACTATTACTGCATTACACTATAAAGGAAGAACTTGTGGCAGAAAAGGCGTCGCTCGAGACTCAGATTGAAGCAAAATCATCAGAGCTTGACCGAGTAACACTTGATTTTGAAGAAACAGCAACCATCGAGTCTAAACTGCGCCAAAGGTATGTAAATAGTCGCGCTTATATATTTTATCCATCACCGCTGGGGAATTTGTGTATTGACTGCTCATCACTTTGCTAGTCTCCAACAGTCGACTGTTGAATTGCAGTTGCTTGAGGCAGGAGCAGGACGTGCCAAACAATTTAAAAATGTCAAGGAACGAAATCAATGGCTCAAATCTACTATTCAACGAATTCAAGTTTCTGTCAAGGAAGAAATGGATCAGGCTACTGGTCTTGAGAATAGTATCAGCCATGCCAAAGCACGAGCCGATACGATTGTTTCTGAAATCACTGCTTCAAAGGATCAGTTGACGCAAAGCAAGGATGATATAGATGCTTGTAGGCAAGAGTTTAATCTTCTTCGTCAGCAACGCGAGGATTTTGAAGTCGCCCGCAAGTAAGCATGTTGGTTTTGCTGCCACTTTATACTGCTTATTTAACTGGTATATCTTTGACGTTTAGAAATCTCTGGAAGGAAGAGGCTTCACTTGGCGCCTTTTTTGAAAATATTAAAGATGAAACTCAGAAATGCGAGCGAATTCTGTTTGGCACCGCAGATCGAGTAAGTTGAATATTGTCTTTGATCAAAAAAGCTGATTCAATATTGACATTCAATCAACATTTGTGTGTTAGGCGGTTTCCAATGGTCTCAAATCCGTCAAGCGAATCACCGAGAAACTAAAACTAGATGGCGTGTACGGTCCACTGTACGAACTGTTTACTGTAGATAGTCGCTACCGCTGTTGTGTGGAAGTGATTGCATCCTCGAGTCTTTTCCACGTGGTTGTAGACAGTGATGAAACTGCTACTCGTATTCTTGACGAACTTTCTAATGAACGTAGTGGTCGAATTACATTTATGCCGCTTAATCGTCTTAAATCATACGAGCAAAACTATCCATCAATGGATCAAGCTATCCCAATGATTGAAAAACTTCAATTTGATGACCAGTTTATCCAGGCATTCAAACCATGTATTTGGGGCGTGCCATCATTTGTCCTTCACTGGAAATTGCCTCTGGGTTTGCACGCAGTCATAATCTCACTGCAGTGACATTGGATGGTATGTCAATTCACCAATTTCCATTTATACTTTTGGATTTTAGATTCTAATATGGTTTATTTTTAGGAGATCGAGCAGATCGAAAGGGAGCGCTTTCGGGTGGATTTCGAGACCATCGTCAGTCTAGACTGGAAGCTGCTGAAAAGTTGAAATTTTCTGCAGATCGTCTTGCACAAAGCGATGCACGACTTGCCGAAATAAAAAACGAGATTCGCAAGCATGATCAGCTTATTACTCAAACACGAGACAGCATATCACGCTTAGATCTTCGTCGTCGTGAGGCCATGAACCTACGCGAGCCACTGAATGAAAAGATACAGTCCATGACTCGCGAGGCATTGGATCTTGACGAAACGATTATTCAAAGAGTAAGCTACTTTTGCATGTATAATATATATATGCCCTATATCCATACACTAATGAACCACATTTGTTTATTTCAATTGCTAGAGTCGCTCATTGGCACAACTTCACACTAGTGTCAAAGGTCTCGAAGCTCAAATTGCAAGCTTTGAAGCTGAACTAAACACTCCACTTCAAAGCTCACTCAGCTCTGAAGATAAAAAGAGAATGGACATGCTGCTTGTTGAAACCCAAGAATTCAAGTCAAAGCTGGGCCAAGTCGTTTCAAACCGTGTGCAGCTCGAGGGACAGCGTAATATTTTATTGATTGAGCTCAATTCTAATTTAAAACGACAGTTGGAGCGCGCAAATGCCAAACTAGAGGTGTTGGTGGGTGGAGGAGATGGTTTTGGAGATATTGAAGAACGCATTGCTGAGATGGAAAAACAACAAGAATTGGCGAATCAATGTGTTAATCGACTCAGAGAAATTGATGTGGATCTTGACCATCTTCGAACTGAAATTAACCGAAACACTGAAAAACTGGAGCAGCTCAAAGTAGACAAGTCGGAAAGCGCTCATGCCATAGAACTTCAGCAACGGAAAATGGAAAAATTCATGACTCGTCGTGCTCTATTACTTAAAAAAAAGGACGATGCACTCGGCAATATTCGCGATCTTGGTGTTTTGCCTGATGAAGCATTTGTCAAGTACAAGGGCATCAATACTAAAACGTTAGTAAAGAAACTTCATCAAGTCAATGAAGCACTAAAGTTGTTTGGACATGTCAACCGCAAAGCCTTTGAGCAATACAACAATTTTGCAATGCAAAAAGAGCAACTCCAAGAGCGTAAAGAAGAGCTTGATCAATCGCACCAGGCGATTGAGGACTTGATTCGTGTGCTGGATCAAAGAAAAGATGATGCAATTGAGCAGACGTTTAAACAGGTCGCACAAAACTTTTCTGATATTTGGGAAAAGATTGTTCCAAGTGGACAAGGCCATCTTATTATGCTTAGGCGAAGCGATGAGGTCAGATCATTCTTGCTTATAGATATTTCTAGTGATCAAAATTTGGAATGATTTGGGCGAATAACAATTATGTTTTAATGCGTGGGGGTTATTTAGGCATTTGATGGAATGGAGGCTACCCAGGACGATTCGTTACAACCAGGTCGTCGTGATACATTGCGTGATAGCGCAATTGAACAGTATACTGGTGTTGCAATCAACGTATCATTTAGTTCCAAAACCGATGAAGGATTGCGCATGCCTCAGTTATCTGGAGGACAAAAGTCTTTGGTGGCCTTGACTCTTATTTTCGCAATTCAGCGCAGTGATCCAGCGCCATTTTACTTGTTTGATGAAATTGATGCAGCACTTGATGCTCAATATCGCACGGCCATTGCAGGTACATTTGTCTATTTAATTGATAGGATCGTGTGATCTTACATGAGATGACTAGCATACTAACTTGTGACGTGGTAGATATGGTGCACGAGCTGTCTGAGCATGCACAGTTTATTACTACTACATTTAGGCCAGAGCTGTTGGAACATACGGACAAATGCTATGGTGTGACATTTGTGGACAAAGTATCTCGCATTCAATGTATTTCCAAGGACGAAGCACGACAGTTTGTTGATGGTGCAGCACAATAATTGCTGTTATATTGGCATGACACATGCAACAAGTGTATTCCACTATTTGAATAAATATATTTGGCAATCCAATCTCAAAACCTCGAGCCATTTTCACCATCATTTGAAGCAATCTGGTATGGATCACCATGCTACACCACACTCTTGAATGCAAACATGAGTTACACAATATTGTAATTTATTACTGTTTTATCACCTATAAATCATCCTTGGTCCATTGAGTTCGTGACTTGACATTCTTCTTGCCCTTTTTATGTGATTTTTTGGTTGGGAGTGGCCCGCCCACACTACTCATCACACTCGCACCACTTTTTGATGGCATAACAGAATCATCTGCTACATTCTGATGGGGAAACAGTTTCACTCGACTAAAGTCGCGGTGAGCAAACTTTCCAACTGTGCGAGCTTCTACATGCGATTTTTGAAAAAATGTGTTATCAATTGCCTTGGAATTGGATGGATTTATCTACACATTCAAGCTCAAGGTTAGTATAGACAATGCAAAACAGTTTACATCAAGGGCTTAAAAGTAAAAAAACAAACATTTCGTTGTGACACAGATGTTTCCGTAAGAGTTGCAGCAGCCTTTGCTTGTAGATCTGCAACCCGAAGCTTCTTGATCTGTCTCCGTAAAAGCCGTTCATCCTCGTATATTTCTCTGTTGAAATCAAGTGCATCAAACGATGGCGGTGGATGAATGAAAAGCAGCTTTCCATTCACGTAGTCTTTTAAAATGTATCGTGCCGCACGAGCTTCATCGGGATTGCCTTGACTGGCCTTGGTATAACCACGAGCAACTGAGTATAATTCACTGTTAGTTATAAAACCAAAACAAAGACAAAAGTAGTCTTTCAAGTATCAACACAAAGTACACTAACCTGCATAGGCTGAAAGAAATTCCTCAGATGTAGGTGCTCTATTGACTAGATTTCCTTCGATACCACGGGTTTTGATGGTGATACCGTACACTGCTTCGAGATAATACTTTGGGATGCGTTGAGCAACTAAACTGGCTGGCTCAACGTACTCACGAAGCTGGTCAATGGGTAAAATACCATTGCACACCATTTCAGCTTTTGTAGTAGCAAATGAGGGAAACACCAATCCAGGACAGTCGCAAAGAACGAGCTTGTCTGACATATGGATAGTCTGAAAGTGCTTTGTTTTACCAGGAGTAGATCCTACCGCTACCTTTTTAGCACCAACAAGTGCATTAAGCGTGGATGATTTTCCAACGTTTGGATATCCAACAAAACCAATATTAACTTTTGCGTCAGGATTATCCTCACGAGTAGTGTAAGGACATTCTTCCACAAACAAGTCATAGAGATCTTCAGCGCCAATAATGCGAATTCGAGGAGAGAGATCATCTTGGCATTCATCCAAATCATCCACCTCTTCCTCCTCCTCCTCGTCGTGCATGACCTGCATACGGCGTGGACGACGAATACCCTCTTGCAACTGACGGATCGCATACATCTCTGCTTCTTCATCGTCATCATCTTCCAATTCGGAAACAGAGACTAGGTCATCATTTACATTTTTAGGTTCTTGGTTTTCCTCCAGTTTCAACTCTGCCATTTCACGTTCAAGCTTTTCTGCTTCTTGTTCCAACACAATCTTTTTTTTTGCCATTGCAGCAGAAAAGAACTTGTAACTGATGCCCTGTTCATCAAAGTAGTCGGCCCATGCTTCTCTATTGATTCATGACATGAAAATTAAGAATGAATAAAGTAGCTCTTATGATTGGAATAAGCAGTTTAGCAACAGCTATGAGTATATTAAATGCAGCATCAAACCTTTGTTTTGCAGTCAATAAATCTGCCTTGTTGATCAACAGCAGATTTTTCTTGACAGGCGATACTTCCTTGACATATTTTTCCAAATCCTTGCACTGGAACAACAATGGATTGCGACCATCGACAATCTGCACAACCAAGTCCGATCTTTCAACTACACGCCACAGCTGTCTCCATACTTCAATATTACGCTCATAGGGAGTCATGATCAATCCCTCCGTTTCTTCTAAAAAGACGAGCCCACGACGCCATTCAAGGAACGAGTTGCGTTCAAGAAGTTTGAGCTCATCTGGAGTGGTGGATTTAGTCCATTTAGGCCGACGAGGAACAGTAAGACGGTCTTTGTGCTCCTCATGCAACATGAGTGTTTTTTGCTCTTCTTCTGCAGTTGGAAGAACCGGTTTAAATGACTGAGTGTCCAAAACCATTACATTGAGTTTCTCTACAGGATTTCCAGGAAAAAACAAACGTTTAGATAATGAAATAAAAATATACTGCCATGGCTTCTTGGATTAGTTTTACTGCAGTACAGTATTGAGTTTGTCTAGTTGTGTAGGTGTATTGCAGCCACGACACTCTATTTTTTTACGACACCAAAAAACACTAGAAATCATATTGGATTGTAAACTTGCCAGCAGTGAATTCAGTTCCAGCAAGCTGAGCAGTACTCAAGAATGCTTCCAAATCATTTTCTTGAGTGATGGATTGCATATTAACCCAGTTGGTAGTTGATGCATCCGACTCGGAGGTGTGCTATTTTAAAAAAGCAATTGAACATGGGATTAATGCTCAACCAGCAATACAATTTAGATGAAATTCAGTAGTGTAGTTACTCTGAGAGATCCGTCAGGATTAACATGAGGAGATCGATTTCCAGAGCCAGCTTGACTGAAGCGAGATCGGATTAAAGAACGACCCAAACCAGTCTTTCCCTTTGGTCCAGCCATATCAATTCAATTCACAGCTAGCAAAATGTCAGGAAAAAAAAGAGATTTTTGCGAGAATTATTTTAAAATTTGACTCGACCAAAAGAAGAGTTTTGTGAATGCTTGCTTGACCATCACTTTCATTTCATGTCCATTTCATGCCTTGTTGTCAGCTATAAATCCAAGGCAAAGAAAATAAGCTTCTGCAGAGCCCTGACGACTGGCTTTTGGCTTTGTTACAATCACCTGCTGGAATCGACTTTGACACAACTTTTTGAGCTCTTGGTCTCCATCACCACGCAAGTACTTGCATAGAAAGTTTCCTCCAGGTTTAAGAAGCCATGGATGACTAGCAACAGACAGTGCAAATTCACACAGGTTTTGCACTCGAGCAGCATCTGTAGATCTATGTCCTGTAAACGAATGTGCCATGTCTGATAGAACAACATCAACTACTGGACCCTCTGGTTGATACGGATATGCTGCTAGAGTGTAGATTTGCTGTAATACTGCATCCTCATGTACGTCTCCCAGTAGGATCTCTGCTCCGTCTATAGGCTCAATAGGCAGTAAGTCTACTGCAATGACTCGTCCATCCACTGTAGCACTTGATGCATGTTTTGTAGGCTTTGGTCGAGATAAAATAGAATCACTCGAACTGGATTGTGCTCGGTCAGGCCATACAGCATCCAGTGCAACTTGGGTCCATCCGCCTGGAGCTGCTCCTAAATCCAACACCACCTGTCCCGGCTTCATAAAATTGTACTTGCTTTGAAGCTCTTTGAGCTTGAATGCTGATCGGGATCGCAGGTTCCATTTTATTCGGTTCTTGACAAATGGGTCGCTTGCTTGTCTGTTAAACCATTGTCCAGAACTATACATGTTGGATCATCAATAAAATGTAGGTTGGTTTATACAAAACATTGTTTTACTGTCATGAGGACTGTGGATTGTGTCGAAATAGGTTGGTTTTAGTAGAATGATTACCGAGTAATAGATGTCATGTATCGAACATATCCATATGATTGTGCCAGAAATGGTAATGATGAATCAAAACGTATTCTCAGTATCGAGCACACTGGTTTGTTATAATTCATGTTTATGGCTGAACTGGGTCAAGTTTTATCAAAATGCAATATATTCAAGAGTGTTGAATATTTACATTTGTATTGATCTTGTGGTGATTGTGTTTTCATATTATGAAATGGTTGCATGTTCAGTTGGTTGATATTACACATTGACTACTTGTTTGATATACAACAATCGGATTATAATGTTGAATCTACACTTTGTGCACTTTTAGTAATCATACATTGTACGATCACCAAGTCTGAACCCACATTCATGTATTGTGTTTGACTGTCAATATTGTCAATACAACTCTGTACACACATTTGTTGTGTTCATCACTATCCAACTCAATCTCACCATTTCAATCAATCTTGGTCAATGTTGATGATTTACACGCTAATTCATTATCCAATCTTGTCTGACATTATTATTGGCTTTAATCACGTTTGATTTGTACAACTGCCATGAGTTGTACTACCATTATCATTGTGTATCTGAACACCAAATATTCCAATACATCAATAATACCACAGTGTAAACAGTAATACAGTTGATCAGTCTTGTGGCAAGACTTTTCATTCAAGTTTGTATTTGGAAATACTCAATGATTTAATCACAACACACTGTTTGTAATGCAATTGTCATTGATCTCATCTCATTCCAGTCCAGTCCATCTGATTTATGATGATGTTTAGTAATCCATTACCATGTGTTGTAGTAAACTAACTTGTTTATTAAACCAAATCTACAACAATCACATTCAGAATATTAATTTATAGTATTTCTAAATGCATGTTTGATAACAATCCAATTTTGTTACAAAAAACTGATCAAAACAATACTAAAATGGAACAGCTCGTTTGTGTGTTTTACAACAATCCAAACATGAACAATTCTTGGCAATTGTTGGACATTCGCATGAATGAAATTATCATCAAAATTCAACTTTACTAATTTTATCAAACATGGATTGTGTTGATGTCATGAAAGAGTTGATTCAACACATGGAAGATTTGAAACTGTTAACAACGGATGCTCAACTATACAAGGCTGATGAAATATGGGTCAGACTGCTTGTGTTGATACTGGAGTTGGAAGAACATGATTCATGTAAGTTTAGTAGCAGTTGTATTATTGATGAGTTCAAACTGTTGCTGACTTTGTGTTGGTTTGAAATGACAGGCTTTAAAGTTATAGTGCCTCGCTTACAGAGTATTGGACTGGAAGATATTATAACCAAATATTTGGAGTATAATCGACCCAGTTTACAGGTATTCATATATTGTAACAATAATGGATTGTTCATGACTAAACTAATCAACATGTGTTGTGTAGGTCAAAATAATGGAGTTTACTACAGTGTTTTTGAGTATTGTATACTATGATGATGATTTTAAAGTATTTCATCGACTAAGCAACCAAATTGTACAACTCATGCAATCACCAAGCCGTCAAGTCAAAATGATGGCAAGTCATGATTGATCTTGATCAAATGATTGTCATTCAACTCACCCAGTGTCAATATGCATATAGGCGATGAAATCATGCACAGAGTTATTCGATTGTGGACGCTGGAGTAAAGAGTATAAATTTGACATCAAGCCAATGGTTGAGATTATTGTCCATGAGTCCGATCAAGAAATGCTCACATTGTCGATTGGCCTGTTCTTGAAAGCTTGTCATGATATTGACGACGAAAATGTATGTTTGCAATGATACAATATTGGATCAGTTTGTACAGTGTCTTGTCTTGTTGATCTGATTGTATATTTGACACTGAACAATATCATTAGTTTGGCATCGTGTTGTCAAGACTTGTTTCACGACTGGAATCATCTAGTGGTTCAGTTGCTGTTGGGTTTATCGAAAATCTTCAAACCATGTATTGGAAGATCCATCGTCATGACCCAGTAAAAGCAGTGAAATGTGGTATCATTCCAGCAGTAGTCAATATGCTCAGGTATGTGATGTTATGCATGAATGTGTGTCCAGTCATCACAATTGGTAAATTTGACATGGTTGGATTGACATGACATGAATACAGGAGTGTCGATCAAGAAGTGATTAGTCGAAGTATTTATACTATTGAGAACTTTTGCAAACGTGCAGATTGTGAAGTGATTTCAGTCGAGTTGATGAGGCTGGATTTGATTCAAACACTGAATGACTTGTGTACCAAATACAGCGACAACTCTAGACTAAAATCACGCATGATCGAAGTAGCTGGAAGAGTTGCATCCAAAATGCGCGACTTTCCTGTATCACTTGCACGATCGTTGGTTTTTGAGCAATTGACGATGTCAGTGTGTGATGCTGGTATGTATGACTCTTTGCACCTGTTGAGCCATGTCAACGACATGATTCAGAAATCTACAAACAAGGCCGAGATGATCAAGGTGTTTCGAGAATATGGAATTGTAAAGCAGCTCATCACTATTTATTCACGTAGAAATATAGATCTATATGATTATGGTAGTAACACTAGTATTGTAAACCTACTCAAAACACTTGTGAATTTTGCCGACAATCATCCCGACAGTTCAATACGTACCGAGTTGGAGCAAGGCGGGATATTTGAAAATCTAACGGCTATTGTAAAATCGGATACTGCTGAATACAGAAACAGAAGGGCTGCTGGCCAGGTCATTGAAAGGTATTTCCAGCATCGGGTTCATGTTGCTAATTCGAGCATTTGGCCATACAAGGACAATGCCGAAATTGATATGAAATCTGGAATGGCCGGATATAAACATGGAAATGCACGCACACTTGTCGAAATGCAGTATATCCAGTATCTGCAATCTATACTTTGCAAACCCATGTGGTGGATCGATATCACAAACCAGCATATTGTGGAGCAATGGAGGGCTGACTCACTCGATCAGAATATATCACCATCAACATTTAATCTTGCATTGGAACAACTCGAGTTTTTTGTCAAACAGCTTGTTTGTAGTGGCAGTGATGGATTTGGCACGATTGTCCCAGGACCTGTTGAACTGACGTATATACTGGACAATGGCATACCTGACAATGTATACACGCGATTGATGACAAATGTATCGGATATTGAACATGGATCAAATCACAACACTGGTCAAATGGTGCACAATCTGATTGATGCATCAATGTACAGTGTTGTATATGGACAAACGATGATTGCACCACTGAGTATACGACTCAAATACACCACAATGGTACCATGCGATATATTGTTATCGACTCGACTTGTTTCAGACACGCCCATCATTGAAGGCAATTCCAAGTTTATATCATCCAAATTCCAATGGCTTCCGAGTGAATTCCGTGTCGAACAGGATGGCAGTGTGACCATCAACTCATACATCAACAATCTGAATCCGATATGGCATCGAGACATGTACAAATGCATTGCCAAAATATTCAAATGTTTTGTCCCAATGTTTGAAAGTCTGTTCAGAACGATGGATCCAATGTTCAAGTATATTGATATTCACAATGACACAAATCGATATGAATCACCAAACCGATCAAACCATGATGATATGGAACTGGATACTGAGGTCATTCGTCCCGTGTATGTACCAACACTTCCGGAACATTTTGAATCCAGTTATGAATCAGCAAAACCAGTGTCACTGCGTGGTCGTAATCTACAAGTCATTGTCAAACTCACCAACATTCAATTGACACCATCCAAACCTAAATACGACGAGGGAAACTGGCACATTGAATGTCCAATTAACGAATCGATTGTTGCGATTGGACTGTATTACTACGACGTGGAAAATATCACCACACCCAAACTCGATTACCGCGTGGCTGTTAATCGTTTTGATGAAAGAGCATCTGATATGTATTGGAAAGATGTGTACGGCATTGATGAAGAATCGCCACGCAATCAGTATATAGGATCGCTTGAAGTATCAAATGGTCGATGTGCAGTTTATCCCAATCGATACCAACACAAAGAACAATCATTTGAACTTGCAGATCCAACTCAACCAGGACATTGCAAGATTCTGACATTTTTTGTAGTGAATCCATCTTGTCGGATTGTTTCGACTGCGCATGTGGCTCCACAACAACCACAATGGTACAACTCGAGTCTTGACAAGGCACACGTACCGCCTGAACTGTGGAATGATATCACGCAGTATATTCAAGGTGTTCAATCACCAGCTGAAGCCAAACGCTATCGAGATGAATTGACAAGCGACCGAATTCAAATCACAGCGGTATACAACGAATACAGATATGAGCTGGTATATGATCTTCATCGTTGGTGGTGAATTGTGAGGTTGTGATTTTACAACAATGAGTTGCAATGCCAGTCGGATCTATGCAATTGAATGGATCGAATAAATTGAATGAATTGAATCAATCATGTCAATCATGACAGTGATTGTTGATTATATTGACTGATTGTGTACAATTGATTGATACAAGTGATATGGATGCATCATTCGGTGTTGTTGAATCAAATCATTGCTTGATTCTGTCAATGTGATCAAATGGATTACTACAAAACTGGACATGTTCAAGTTGAATCAAGTATTGAATCAAGTATTGGATTGATATTTACACACAACCACAATTACAACCACAATTGCAATCAGCACAGTCTGAATATTAGACATTTGAACATCACGTATCGAGCTGTGGATAAATGCGAGTTGGCATATTGGACTGTTTTTGTAATTTATTAATGATTTGATTCACGACTGTTTGAATTCAAGGCTCAATATGGATTACAACTGGATTGTCGTTGTTTCCATTTGTGATGACAAATCTGTCAATGTGTTGATTGATTGCTAGTCCATTGTCCAATC